CTACTGCGTAGCTATAAGTGTAGTCAGTATGAGTAGACGTGTATGGTCATGCAGACATACCTCATTCCAGGACCAGAACGTGACGGAGGGGGCTTGCGATCGTATGATCTTTTCTCGAAGAGAGACTGAGAAGGGTCGTTGTATTGTGTCTGTGGAGGAAGGTTACGTGCCATGGGCCTTGGAACAGATTCACGAGGAACACTTGAGTATGACGGGGAAGGTGATGGTTGGGAAGATCTGGAGAAAAAGGACATTGTATGGTAGTTGTAGTGAATCCAAATATTAACGCAGTCGTGGCCGCAGCCGCAAACGGTAGAAGGTTGTTTGTATTTATTAAATTCTAAAGCTCTTGCCAAATAGTAATCAATAATAAACCCACCCCCTTGGTCGCAGCAAACAAATACATTTGAAATGCTCAACCTGTCGACGCCGCAGCACACATTTGACCTCGAATTATACGGGCTAGAATATCAATTCTACCTAAAAACAATGTTTGTAAATGAGTGCATGAAGATGCCCACATTCGTTGTAGCTACCTAGTAAATCATATGCTCAAGCGGAGTCCCAGTTGTTTCATACATGTGAAGCTTATTATTACAAAGGTTTTGTAACCGAAATCTTGTTCTCACCAAAGTGAAGTTACCAAAATAGGGCATACCAGCTGAGAAGGAGAGGAGATGACTCTGCCATCACTGGCACGTCCAAGAAGTTCGCACACTTGCGAGCAGCCACAGTCTTCCTTTTCAACCAGCCATGTTCTCTGCTGCACGTATTATCGACCATGATTTTCCTATGGATCGACGTTCATGTCAATTGTTTGGTCCGACTGCTTTGGTAGGTCAAAAACTCTTTCGTAGAACACTTTACAGGAGAGGTTCACAATGTCACATCATCCATCAGGTTGTCCAGGCGCTCATGGGTGTGCTCGTAATACTTTCGCTTGTGTATAAGAGGCATCGTGAACCACAGAAACGGCCTTGGAGAATATGGTTCGTCCTCGTCGCTTACAGTGATGTAGGAGACTACTGAAGCATTCTACGATCACAGGCTCTTTGATGTATCCAAGCAAATTGTTGGACAGATGTTTGTACACGGCGTCAACGTTCTGATTTCCAACCTTGGTTCACATCATAATGCCGGCAATGCCTGCACTTACTACTTTCTCAATGTTCTCGTCGATACCACTCTCGGTGAATATCAATGGATCTCACTCCTATCTTCAATGCTCACCTTTTCATAGGTGTTGCTATAATATACGTTGTGCATCATGGTCTCACGTACCTCTTCGCAAAGAGATTCCGCCTCAAAGGTTACGAGTCGGGACAATATGGTTCCCCACCGTTAATGTCGTATTGGGCGCGTCAGGCCGCACTTTACGTTGTTGCGTTGACGACGATGAAAATGCTTGTTGTAGGGTTGTTCACAGTGTGGCCAGGGATTTCGCAAGTGGGGGACTGGTTGCTCAGTTGGACTGCTATCGGTAGCGGCGATGCCTTTCAAATTATATTGTGTGTTGTCCTTTCTTCATGGTGATAACGGTCTCATCATGCCTTCGTAGTGTCATGGGTCTCTTCCCTATCATCATGAACATCCTTCAATTCTGGCTCATTGATTCCATTGTTAAAGCTTCTTCAAACTCAGTTGAATTTCTCGCCAATTCACCCCGTATGTCTGATGTGCATGATCGAGAACCGCTCTTTCGTGCGCCAGAAGATGACGAGGACGATGCTCATTGCGATATAGAGAATCCTCGACTCCCTTGCATAAGGATGTCAACTGGAGATGACGCAGAGACGATAGTTGCATCTGAAGAGTCCAAGGGAAAATACAGCGAAACCGCCTCTCCATTATCGATACCACACTCCACGTCTTCTCTGGTGCCGCACGATTATCCTCCAAGCATTGGAAGTTTGTCGTCTCAGAGCTCCCGCTCTCGGCACAAGTACAAGCGTTCTCCGCCATCTCCACTTGAGTTCCAAACGTCTCATATACCAGCAATCAACTCCCCCGATCCACCTCGATCGCATCTAACAGATGTGGACAACAGCGCATTGGAAAGAGAGGATTATGATGAACAAGTAGCGGATGAGGAGCGGGCTGGCACACGGAAAGAACAGACCAAGGGTATTGTCGATATGGTTTGGCGCCGTACGCTTGGGAGCTTGTGAAGCATCGGTTTCCTTCTCATCATCCCACATTCATTCATCCATTCATTCATCATGTATGATTTCCATTCCGCTGCACCACCCATTTGTATCATATGTTCGCGGATTAATATTACATAATATTAGAGCGTTTCGCTCATAAGATTCACTTTTCGACTTGGCGCTGGATATTTACACGCTCGCCTTACGTCAGGCGTGTCACACTGGCAGCAGAATTCCCTCCATACACGCGTCCCTTACTCGCTTCTCACTGTTTCTCGTGCAAATCTTGAACAGATAGATGTCATATCCCTAGAAATAATGGCCGTAAACATATCCTCAGTCTCTATAGAACCTACCCTACAACCAGATGGATCCACGAGTGGCAATTTCACCCTAGAAAACATCCTCGGAACGAACCACGAAGCAGTTGAACACCCACGGCTCAAGGAAAAAGATTCAGGCGATGCTACCGAGCCCGGTCATGGATGGGACGAAGAATCAGCTGTCAGGCCTGCTGCGGACGGGTTTTGCATCGAATGCGAAGGTATGTGGTTGATAGGAAGTGATCGTACGGATGAGGTCGAGCTTACCGCCTATATAGATCAGCCTGCTCAAGTTGTGTGCGATACATGCGTGGATAATTACTGTGAAGTGTGCTTTGCGGCGCAGCACCGGAAGGGGTCGAGAAAGAAGCACATCGCAAAGCCAATCCCAAGTAGCGCCAAGTCCAGGTCGGTGCAAAATGGTGTGGCGGAGGATGTCAAGAAAAATGGGGAGGTACGAATTTTTCGGCTTGACCGTGGTGGATCCGATACTTACTTCTGTACTCAGCAAGAAAACGATGTTGATATGGATGACTCTGATGAAGAACTCGACCGTATATCAATCGAAGCATCCAAGGCGCCCGTCTCTACCCAGTTACTAGGCGCCCAACCTACAATTGGATCCAAAGTCGGCGAGTGGTTCATCGACCGTTCGAAATACATCCCTCTTCGACTCACGTACGGCGAGCGCAAGTACCTACGCCTTCTCGATGCTGCACTTCAGGTATCCGAGTACACAGATAAGATTGACACGCTGGGCTTTGGACTTTCGAAGCCGAAGCGTATCGTGCATCAGATTCGCGAGCTGTGTGCGATTCTATCAGGCCTCGTCCTTGCCGCGGACTACAAACAGGGCCAAGAATTGTTCACTGACCGCGATTTTCAGTCCAATGCGGACTTCTACCAGACTATCTTTGAGCTCGGTCGGAGACATAAAATCATGAACCCAGATAAAATGCGCACGACGTATGGAAAGTTGATCTATTTGTTACAGGTAAGCTCTGAACTTCACAGTCTCTGTCTATGCAAACACTGCTCTCCATAGGACAGCCAGTCCCCGGACGTTCGAGACATGCTCAGCTTTTCTTGCGTCAAACCCATCATATCTGTGTACACCGTTCTTGAAGAAAAAGATGCTCTCGACATGTTACGAGATGATCTCATCATGGTTGCCACGCAGGAAATCTATTCTGAAGGGCGCTCAAAAAGAGAAGTCCAGCGGGATATCAAAAACAAGGAGCGCGCGATTGAGACGCTCGCTTCAAAATACCAGCGCTCGGGGTTAAATCAGGAACAAGTTCGTCAATGCATATACAGCATCGGCGATAATCACGCTTTCTTGCGGACGAACCGAGATCCCTGCGAAAAGATGATCACGTACTTGAAGCAATATTTCCATCCAACGCAAGCAAAAGATAACAAGTCTAGGTTTGGCAATACGAAGTGGCAAGCAGGGCGCAAGACTTAGTCACGATCATGCAAAACAATACGCGTATGTCCTACAGAGTCTTACCTTATGGCGGGAGATCCTGCATGGTTTGTCTCTGAAGGTGTTATTGTTTGTCATGTTAATTCTGTTCGACAGATATGTTCCGGTTATGGTCGCTCGCTGAACAGGACTTACTTGCGGAGAACGTACCTTACCGGCTGAGGGATACCGGCCAAGGGCTAAATCGTGTGCAAGCAGCTCCCAAAACCTTCCGCATGATGCACACGATCCTACACCGTGCGCAACAAAGCGTGGGAACATGGATTGGTTCGTCCGCCATCCACATGGGCGACCATAATGTGCCCAACGCACTCATGTTCATCGGTACGTTTTACTGTCATAGCGCCGCCCGTGTCTTAATTTAGACATGCTTCGTACAGATAAATATTCCCAGATCTACCGGATCCTACTGCCTATCTGTAATACCCTCTCACAGATACCCAGCCTTACGGAAAAGCCTGCGCTACGCTCCTACATTGAGGATGACTTCGGCTCGATAGATAATTGTATGCGCGAGATCCTGTGCGATTTCTTCCAGCATGGCTTCGATGGTTCTGGAGCCGATAACTTCTTTGACGCGGGAAGCTGTATCGACGGCCGTTTGACCAGCGCATGGAATTGGTGTGCACAACTGGAAAAGAAGAGGTATTTCCCTGTGTTTTTACTCACAGGTATGCTTGTTATAAAACTTGATGACTGTTTGTAACTGACTGCCTGCACAGGATTTGTTGGATTCGATGGTGATTGGTAAGGGTTGGATATATGCTGTTCCATCTGATTGTTATCTGTTCTCGGTTAAGTACCGGTGATCTTTGACTTGCATAGCTACGCATTGTGTGCGTCCCTAGGCCTGTCAATGCCTCACGAGTGCCCAAAAGTATATTGTTTCCCTCACCCTATGAGTATCATTGCAGTGCAGATCTCGATGGTTCATAAGTACCCAGATACAAATACATGTGATCAAAACATTTCTATGGTCCGGCCATTTCACTATTGAAAGAAAACCAGCTTTCAAGCCTCTCGTGATCATCCTGTGAATCATCATGTGGCCATAAACTCTACCCGCCTCAGAGCTGGCCAACCAGACACTTCAACAGCAGGGTAGTCGTCAACTTGAGTTGCGCTGGGCAATGATAAATGAAGTTCCTCCAAGTGCTCGAAATTCGGCATCAAAGGGAACAGCGCATCCATTATATCATGCGCCACGCCATCGTGATTATGGAGTACTGGCGAGCGGCTGATTGTGAGAGATAGCGACTGCAGTGATGAGCTGTACTTTTTCACGATGGTAGAGAATAACCGGCTGCAGTCTGTCAGTCGTGCGGGCCCACGACTGTGCTTGACAGTCAGCGAGCGGACACACGGACTGGAAACATTCGTGATGAAGGCTTCCGCAAGCGCAGGGGTACCGCCTATCTCCAGCTTCTCCAGATATGGGAAGAGGGATTGTGGAGTATCCCATATACAGCTAGTAGGAGGAAGCTCGATCTTGAGCTCGATCACGGGTGATTGCGAAAGCACACGACATAATGATCCAAGGACATTAGAGCTGATGAATGCGGATATCTCGGCGCTTCGCAAGTGTTTGAAATGCAGGGGTGGCGTGTCCAGGCGGTCACTGTTGTAGCTGTAGTCTTCGACGTGCAGATGTTTCAGGAAGGGTGCATCGCGCGCTGCGTGCGCAAGAGCAGTTTGGATGCAGGAATCTTTGCAATTGATGTATGCGGGGCCCGAAATTTGCAACCTTTGCAGTGTTTCGGGAAATAGCCGGATCCCTGGGTGTATAGGTTCCTGAAGCTGCATCGTTATGGATCGAAGGAAGGGGAAGACGTTACAGTCTGCTCGGATGGTGGCCACACCTGCGAGGAAGTGCGAGGCGCCGCTGTATAAAATCCGCACACGCCTAGCATAAGCGTCAAACGTTCGCCACTCATGCATAGGGGGACATTGAAAACCCGCGATACTCTCTGCGCTGAACTGGTATTCCACCTGTAGGATACGTCAAAATTATACCAGTCCAAACCCGCCCAAGAACAATACGTACCCAAAGTGTTAAAACTTTTTGGGGCAGAAGGGGAATGAAAGGACAGAAAAGGCTCATCCGCTTCCACAGGACATCCAAAGCTTGGTCTGAGAATGCCTTGCAACAACGTGCAAGACATGAAAGGGACTGCCTATCATCCTCTAGCTGGGATGTGATTTCTGAGAGAATCTCGGAAATGTAGAGAGCGCGAAAACTTGAGACCATGGCTAATCAGTCAAACTCTTATCATGTACTTGTTGGGAGGATAAGTTGGGGTTGGCGAGAAGTGAGGAAGAACTGGGGATGTGAGTCAATACAAGACCAGGTGTTTTTGATACTGGTACTATATCATGGGTGCGAGTGTCTCATATCGCTCGAGAGTGACGCTCACCCATTAGTAAAGTCCATGGATTCCTGTGAATACAATGAATGCAAGTGGACATCATACTTCGCGGGAAGACGGGGGTTTGTCACCTAGATGTAGTAAGCCGTGGGCCTTTCTTGTGGGATCGTATAGTCAGCAGCACCACGCATGGTCAGCGGTATCGTCTCATAATAGCTTGCCTTGCACTTCCCCCTTGACGCACCGTTCTCACCAACACTCCCACACTGCCACAGTCTTCTCATGTTCTACACTCGCATTAACAGTAACCTAACACCTGATCAATACGTTATATATACTTCCTAAAATATACAGCACCGGGCGCCCCTTCAGCTCTTCCGTATAAAACACTATATCGCTTAAAAGTCAAGAAGCTTGAGAGATGGCCATGTAGGAGACTCAAATGTGAGCTCAGGCGCTAGATGAACGTAGCGATTATGTGGCAACGATAGGTGTAGAGTCTCTAGTCGACTGAAACTTGGTGCGAGTGCGTAAAAGGCATCGAGGACTGCTTGGGAAAGATCGTACGGGTAGCCCGGGGTGGACGACTGACTGAGTGACAGCGAAAGTTGCTGAAGAGTATTGCTGTATTTATCCGCAATACATGAAAGAAGTTGGCGGTAATCCGCAACGCTCGCGGGTCCTCTTGTGTGGTTGATACTAAGCTCCTGAAGATTCTTGCTGGCAAGATGGGATATGAATTGTTCGGCAGAAGCCGGAGGACCACAAATTTGCAACGATATTAGAGCGGGAAAGACAGGGGTTGAAATATTCCACTCCTTATTTGGGAGTGGTGGAAGCTCGAGTTTGAGTTGTGTGACAGGTGCTTGGGAAAGGATGTGACATAGAGACTGTAGGAGGGTGTAATCGAAAAATGCAGATATTTCGACAGCTCGGAGATGAGCAAAATGGAGAGGCGACAGTGATGACTGGGCCACAGAATAGGTATAATCTTCGATGTGAAGATATTCTACCAACGGCGCATCGCGAGCTACGTGTGCGATGGCCATTTGGACGCGGTCATCTTCGCAGTGTACATATGCAGGCCCGGATATCTTCAAAGAGCGTAGCGAGTCTGGGAAGAGGTGGCCTTGCATATCAAGGGGCTCGACGAGTTGAAGAGACAGGGATCGTAGCAAAGGGAATACAATGGTTTCGGAGCGTATGCGGGCTACTATTTGGTGACCATGCGATCCAGAATGTAGTCTGCGCACTCTGCGGGCGTAACTGTCAAATACCCTCCATTCTTCTTCAGGCGGGCACTGGAACTCGGCAAGGGTCACTTCGTCAAACTGACTGTGGTCCTAAAAGTTCTTGAGTATGACGTAATGGCTTCAAGGATTTTATGCTCACCCATAAGAACTTCACGGTCGGCGGTAGGAGGGGAATGAATGGCGAGAAAGACCGCACTGAGGACCATAGTACACTCAGAGCAGGTTCTGAGAATGCATGACAGCAACGAGCAAGACGTGCTAGCGCTTTCCTGTCATCCTGAAGGTGGTATGAGATAACAAACAAAATCTCTGATATGTAGAGCGCATGAGGAGATGCCATTTGAGCCATGAATACTGATGTTCAATTGCAGTTGTGCTTGATACAACTGAGCCATTTTATAAGAGCGAGAACGGCCGGGATCCGCTCGTATGACACCTGCATCAAGACGTAATTGATGCCATCCATTATTCTTGGTGCTAGTGGTAGTCCGCCGTGGATCCTGTAGGAGTGAGATGGTGTAAATTTAAAACGGTGCTACCCAAAGACATCCGCAGCATTGGTAAACGGTCGGGTATGAAGAAGGCTGATTCGGGCGCTGACGGCTTACGTTCAAGTTGAAAAGTTCGGGGCCCCGGTCATGGTGTCGATTTGCCGTCATGCCGAATACATTTTTTCATAGTCCGCTGTATTTCTTATTTTCTAACAATAATATAACGTCGCTCGCTGTGTGGGCAAAAGAGAGCTCAACGTTCAACTACCCTTCATGCTATTCATTGTCCAATCGGTGTTACTCTCAGATCTGTCCAACGGCAGTGTTGATCTTCAACGCGGTGTTTTGCATGTACTAGGATATACAACGATGAATATGGCGGACTGTGAAAATTGCATGCGGCATAACGGCAAATCCAACCATGAATAAAGATCCCCAAAGATCCAGCATGATGGTATGTACCTGGCAGCCCCAAAAACTTGGAGCCGGGATCAGATCTTCTATGTGGCACCTCGTGGCACTTCTACGTCACGTACTTCTACGTCACGGTTCTAGTATGCTACGTAGCACTCTATTAATATCGTCCATCCGTGCAATCCCGATCAAATCATGCATACGGTGTCGGTGTCACCACCAAAGTACTAAAGTATCAAAGACATGCCACAAGTTGCCCATTCAACTGAAACATGTCACTTCTCAAAATACCTCTAGTTCTCTCATCAGCTATCGCAGTCCAGGTAGCAGTCACTCCTCCTCATTCTGCATCCGACAAGGAATTATATCATAATGGTCGGACCCTGATTCGTCTCTCATCTTATTTTCGTAAAATGAGACCCTCGCAAACGATAGCCGTTCGTCCGAATTCTGCGTATTTTTAGGAGATTTTCACTGAACAAGGTTCGCTCAGGGGTTGTACTGGGCGGGGGCAGTGGCTGAAATAACTGCCATCATTGCTCGCCACATCGATTCCTCAAAAATACCATCAGTTTTACGAACGGCATCCGAAGCTCTGAGCACTCTCACAGATGTGCCTATTACTCCTTCTTTCTTGTGGGCTCTAGCCTCGTGACTAGCGGTGGATTCATCCGCTGGCTCTGCTACCGAACCCTCGGTCGCTATTTCACGTTTCTGCTCAGCGTGCGCCAAGACCATCGACTTATCACCACCGGTCCTTATGCGATCGTTCGGCACCCTTCTTACACAGGAATGATGATGTTGTGCCTTGGAATCATCATTCTGCATGGCTCTCGTAACTCATGGTTAAGGGCTTCTGGTGTATCAGCAAGGATCCCTGGAGTGTTACCGGTTATCGCTGGAGCTTCCATTTTTTGTACAGCGGTAAATTTCGCATTATTTTCAAGAATGAAGAGAGAAGATAGGATGATGCATTCTGCCTTCGGAGAAGAATGGGAAGCGTGGGCGAGAAATGTGAAGTATCGGATTATACCTGGCGTGTACTGAAGCCGTGTGTTGAATGTGACCACATCAAGCGTCTGTTTAAATTTCGATAGGCTCGAAAGTCTTGTACCCTAGTACTTCGTGTATGATTAGTATTTGCAGTTGGTTTGTGTGGCATACCAAGTGACTTAGAATCAATATACAAATAGTTTGAAGCTGTACCCTCAAGCAACATCGCCCAGGGCTATGCTACTTGGCTGAGACTGCGTCTCACAGATATTTAGATGTGACCAACGATTCACTATATTATGTAGTACAGCAACTGGCAGCCATGGGTCAATCATACGTGAGTATTAAAAAAGAGGTGGGCCGACAAACAACAACCCTCTTGAAAGCATCCAAAAACATACAATGGTTGGCCGAGTGATCTCATCGGATGATCAAAAAATCAGTAAGCAAGGGACCTGATGCTGAATAACTGCTGGATAGTATCCGCGTGCGAAGTATGGAGCCAAGTCAGAATTTTTACGAAAACGTGCCATCCATCGTGATTCCAGTGGGGAAGATCAAGATTCGACATTTTAATAGTCTGCGAGGCTGGCTATTCGGATTGTGTATCTGAAATGCAACTATTGCTTGTGGGGGCTCGGAATCCGCCCAACGTATTATGTGTGAATTATCCTCCTGAATCCTGACCAAGGAGTAACAGTTAAAGTTAAAGATGGAACCAATGTCCACATCTGCTTTGTAAGAACATGTCCAGTCGGATGGTCTTTCCGACGTATACAACTGGTAGTGTTTGGTCGGTGCACGTATCACCGTGTCGTATCTTATGCGTCGTTGTTACAGAATCCTCGCTTGTAAGAAGATGTTCCTTTGGTCATTGTTTCGAATCGATACGGGCGGTAACACAACAAAAATGTTGGAGAGGACGAAAAGGGATACTCGTCAGTGATGACGGCAAACTTGTGCACCAATTAGAAATCAGTACTTACTAAAATCAGACTATTCGTACGAGGATCTGGAAGCCTAGCCTAGGTCCACTATCTGGAAGGGTTATATTTGCAATGGGTTTACTCAGCCATCAAATAGAAGCAACACTTCCGCAGGAGAGTGGGTAAAGGAGATAAATATCGCCACCACGAGGAAGCAACAAAGAGCGACGAACCTTCGCCGACAAGACGGAGGCTTGGATCATGATGGACACATGGAAATTTCATAGGAAGGATTTGCGGGTCGTCCGCGTCATGCATCATGCATCATGTCTCGGCTCTGCTCTCAGGCGGCAGCCTAAACCTAAACTTGCCGCAACTTCTAGAATTGACTACAGTTACAAGTTAAAGTGCTGAGGGCTCAATATTTAACGTTTGACATCCAGGAATGCATAAGCATGATTAACGAGTGAATAACCGTGAGTCACTAGTGGCGAGAAGGAGGAGCTGCAAGCTTAGAGGTTGAACATATATATTGATGCGCACAAGAAACTACGCAGGCTTGGAGCAGACATACGAGCCCCAAGATCGCCACAAACAAAATAAAACCAAGCATAGTTTCTCCGACAATATACCGGGGCCACTGCGCTTGGCTTTGTTTGGTCTGTTGTGGCTGTCGGATGCCGGGGGCTGTCTTCTTACACACCCGCTGATCCGGGTAGCAGTTCTGGAACTTCTGCGCAAGACGTGTAACCGGTTCCTTCCGAACTCCTTCCCAGTGACGGCGACTGGGCCGATCTTCTGGATCTCTTGCGTGACAATTTTGGAGAGCCACGATGTCGAGATTCGAGAAGGCTGTCGACATTGCCACGAGCAAGATCAAGGGAATCTCTATTTACGCGTGGCATTGATGTCGTGATGTCGATGCAGCTCGCTCGCCATACACAAGGCATGCATGTCCTTGTCCACCACAGTGGCGAAGGCATATGAGAATTGGTGGACATCAAAATACACGGCGGTAACTTCGAAGCCGTCGCGGCGTTCCCACTTACCAGATCCATGAAGTTCGACAACTTCGAGATCCTTAGTAATGGGAGATTTCAAGGTCTTTCACAGCTGGCAGACTGCGCAGGCGCAACTCGGAGTTCAATCCGTGTTCTCACTGTGTTGTAGGGATACCTGCAGACATGATTGGCTTTCTGTGTTTCACTGCCACCCGTCCGACATCTCGTGCATCCGAGTCTCACGTTCAATTCTGACACGTCCCCACGAACTTTTTACATGTTGTGAGCAACAGGTCGATTGAGACCTTGTTTTATCACTTTCACATGCATATCCATGCTCATACCCCTCAGATGATTGATATACAGGAATTAATTTGTTCCTCATCAACGAACGCCCAAAGTTAGCTACATTTGCTGGCAATACCTTCCGGAAGTGAGTGTTTTCATATTGCGCTCGTATGAACAGTTCAGGCTTAACTATGAGCAGGGACGTTGAGTCAAACACTGCGCCATGCAAGAATCACCGATTTGATACCAAGATCTTCGTTAATCGGCCCGCCAAGAGCCCCATGTCCGAATCAGACTCATGTCAGGATCATATATCCTCTACGCGCTGATCCAGTATTTCCAAACAAGACGTGAAGCCGCCCTCGTGTCTCATCGATGCGAAGAGTAAAGCTCTTCGCATCCGAAACACGCTGGGGTGGTAACCCTCCAACGGGGGTAGTGCAGGTGGGTATTTTCCACCATTTGCAAAGTTTAGTCAGTAGAGCCTCCGGGCGAGGTGATCATCATTAGGTTGACACCAGCTTCCGTCTGCCAGGCACATTGCCAGCTGCGTCAGGCTAACGCGGATACATCCTTCTTATTTGTTCTCCATTCTCTCTACTCATACGGCCCGCACGACAAAACTTTAAACACATCGACCAATTAGACTCGCGTGGAAGAATCAAAGATGTCAATTGTCACCTGGTGTAAATACGGTATATCCGCTCCAATCAGATTGGGTAGGAACCTCCGTGCTGCCTCAAGACTGGTCAGTGACAACGCATACATTCAATCATTGGCAGGTAACTTTTTAAATTACCCGCCCTGCCGTACTCCGCGATAGATTCTATAAAAGTAACCAAAGGGTCAAGGGTTCTTTATGAAAATGTCCCTTCTCAAAATCCCACTCATTCTTTCGTCTGCTGTCGCTGTGCACGTGGCGCTCACTCCTCCACACGCCCCATCGAAGAGCGAGGTCGTCCATGATACCTTTAATGAGTGGGTCATCATTCAGCACGTTAGATACGGGCTCCCGATCTCAAAGGTACCTGTTTACGATTGTCCACAATCCTCTTTGATGGAACTACGCCCAGATAGTTTACTGGGGTATTTCTTTGGCAGAAATAGCTCTCATCGTGTCTCGTATGACGGACCTCAAAACACTTCCTAGCGTAGGTGCAAAGCACAATCGGTCCATTTCTTCCAAGAATCCAGGACGTGCCAATCACGCGTCCTTTCATTCTCGGCACCGCACTTGTTGCTTCAGCGGGATACCTCCGCTGGTCGTGTTTTCGAACCCTTGGTCATTTCTTCACATTCGAGCTTACTGCTCGCAAGGGTCACCAGCTTGTCACGAGTGGACCATATTCGATCGTACGCCATCCCTCCTACGCAGCTGCTATTCTGCAGTATATCGGTGTAACGGTCTTGCACGGATCTGCGACTTCGTGGGTTAGACAATCAGGGGTCTTAGATCTCCCTGGAGTGAAACTGGTTCTCCTGGCATGGTTGTTGGAGAGAACGATTACGGTGACAAGCCTCGTGCGCAGGATCAATCAAGAGGAGGAGGTCGTGAAGTCAATGTTCGGAGACGAATGGCAGAGGTGGGCAAATGCGGTTAGATACCGCATCATACCCGGCATCTACTAAACCCAGTCCCCACTCTGTCGTGAAGGCTCATTATGATAATATGCAACATTTTCAACGAATCTTGTGTAGCTCTCCGATCATATCACATATTCTTTCACAAATTTGACCCGTCATAGATTCGTATCTCCTTACATGGATCCGATTTTGCTGATTTTTAGGATGATGTAGTGTGGTGTCGGAGCAAACCCAATCAAACTCAGGGTCTACCCCGGATCCACAATTTGGTCATGTCCTGTCACGCCTCAACACAGTAGCAGCATAGTCAACTTTCACTCTCTGAAACCATCGCACTCAAAGTGCGCGCATCGCGAAATGCTCGAAAATGGTGAATACAGCAGTATATTGAATATCGCAGTTCAACAAGACTGACGGTGACGATTACTGTAATCACACTGATCATACTAGTGTCGCTGATAGGCTGCTGAATAGATTTGATGTCCTGCACTGTAGTCCGCACTAGGTGTCGCCGACTCGGAAATTCGTATTACCGCGAATTGGTGCAAATGAGGGTTTGTACGAAGGTTGCGCTTTAACAGAGGGTCACGGTGTCCCGGTGTCCCTGTCATGGTGGCTGTGCCACACAAAGTTCCTTCCTGCCCTTCGGTAAGTAGCCGTGATAATTTGCTTCAAATGAGACCGTGCTAGGTCCTGTGCACGCCGACGTATGGTATAGCCAGCTACTGCCAATCGGTTTTGAGCCCTCTTTTTTTCTGACAGCCTGGATAGCGGCCGTAATGTTGACCTCGCGAGGGTTATCTTCGGCCTTTGTTTGGGTTACCTTCCTGTAGTGTGGTGAATATTAAAGAGAATGATGCAACGCGATGTGACGGGAAACTGACATCTGCGAGACTCGAGTAGAGGATAGATGTCGTGTTGAACCACTCGTGTACTGCAACATCTAAAGATTTTTTGGTCTACTTGTATGAAACACCATTTCTAGGTACTCTGCATATGCCTGAATTTGTTCAATGCCAATCGAGCATGAGGTTGAATTGTAATGAACTGTGCAATCATTGACATGATGGTGGATGCACGATTTCTCACTGATGTCCACACTGTGTGAAGCAAGTTGCTTACAAGCTGCGGTCCACGATTGTAGGGGAAAACACTACGTGCACTTTCCTGTAATTATTAGTCATTGGCTTCAGCGGAGGGCCTCTCTCGTAATGGTACCGTTGTAACCTTAACTTATTCATGATGTACACAGCATAGATACATCATAGATGATTTATTCATCTACTCTATTTAGGGCAGGCTTAAGACCAGTGCTAACAATTTCTCGAAATTGGGTGTCCCAAAGCCTGAAACTGCAGGTATTGTCAGCGAAATAAGAAATCACTTGCCAAAGCATGCACTCACCAGGATCCCAGCCAGTCGTGGCCTGCGCGCGGGCATTAGATCAGTGTCACGACTTGAGAGTATGCAGATATGACATACATTGAAGCCCTCAGTTCCACATCCTGGGTTGTGGCCCATGGTGATATCATTTAGCGCGGAGTACCCAGCGGAGTACAAGAAAGGGTTGAGGAAGCCGAGGGGGGATTTGAAGGCAGTAAGGCGTGCGTCATTCAGCATGGATACGAACGAGGCAAATGTGGGTGAAGAACAGGATGTGCCGTCAACGGGTGTCGTCTGGCCCTGGTAGACAACAAGGAAGTTCACTCCCTGGGCTGACACATCGGGATAGGCCTGTATGGATGTTAGCCTTCGGATCTTCACACGCTAAAGAGGTCACTTACGCGCCCTTCGCTGCAGATAAACAACTCGATTAATGTACACTAATAGGAGTAGCTCAATGTACTTACGGAGCGTAGAGACCCTCGTAGGTACCAGGAGCGAGTTTTGTTAGGTACTCTGAGACAGCAACTTCTTGGTAGGCTGGACGAACAAACTGTGGGAGCGTGTTAGCATTCCAGTAGGTGTCAATCATAGCCGTCAAATTCCTCACATAGTTACTGAAACCACCACCGGAAAAGGATACAGCAGTCTCTGGGATATTGACAGTGGCGCCCACGGCCGTCACACTTGATTCGATCATTAGTTGTTATATTCCTCTCCTTGATCACCAAGATCACTCACTATGGACAGGAAGCGGGAAAAGCGGGCAAGAATTTCGTGACGTTGAGCCCGTCATTGGAGTAGCACATCTGTGTGGCAGGGTCTGGATTGCCGTCACCAACACCAGAATCACCAGAGGAGAACAAGATGGAAACTCCACGAGCACCGAGAGCTGCCATACCAGCGCAGACACGGGTTGCATAGGTGAACGGGACAGTTTGCTCGTCGTCACCATAACTGGTAGAAATGGTTTGAGGAAGTGAAGGCTGCGAAAGAACGTAGTCGAGCCACTGGGGTCATAGACATCAGCACATTAGAAGTTGGATTATAGTGACCCAAGCTTACGTATGAGTATGGCTCATTTGTATCAGTCGCCGTGAACACATCAGGGTCAAAAGGGGGCTCGCCAGCAGTCGAGTAAAACGTTCCAGGAGTGGGCCATGTGAGTCCAAAGCCAAATTGAGTGTCAAGGTTAGCTTCAACGCCTGCTGCCGCATAGGTCTGATTGTTCAATCCACCTGTGAAACAAATCAGTAACATAGCTACCGAGCTTTGAGTGCAGCATAGTACCGTTAACGGAAACGAAAGTGTAGTTTGAACCGTAAGCAGATGGGTTTTCAAGCTGGAAGAATTGTTGGAGGTCCATGTTGTTGGCATACTGGTCCAGGTAAGCAGTGAGACCCATCTTGTTGCCGCTCGTAGCAGATGTGTTGTAAGCTACTGAATTATATAACTGCTTTAAGCATGAAATCGTGATCGAGCTGTTGCAACTTGCATCAACCTGATTGCCTGCAGGTCCTGTGATCGTTCCACTAGATGTGCTCAAGACTGGAGCTTGCACCTGGTTAGTCCAGTGCAGCGTGCTCTTGAACGCCTTGAAGCGAGCGAACATGGTCGTTGGCTGTATAAGGTCAACATGATCATGCAAGATCTCTGGGAGACTGTAGCTCGTGGTGCGGACGATGCTCTCTCCGGTCTCAGCGTGCTTATAAACAGAATAGGTCTAGATATCCAGGAATCAATGGACTGTAATCTCTGGAGACGATATTGTTTTGCTCACGGTATCCAGCATTTCTTCGGCAAGGCTGACTGGGACACGAATAGTGACCCAATCGTTTGCAGATGAACGAAAGAGACTCTCTTCTGCTAGACCATATGAAGCAAGCCATTCGTTGACAATGTCCAAAGATTCAGGATGGGGAGCCATGAGAGCATCAGTCTCCTCCTTGGACAGGTGCGCTCCATAACGTGAGTGACTAGGGTCGCTCACCTCCCAGAGGTGCTGCTCGAGCTCCGGGAACTTGGGCTGAGGTAAAGCGATCTTAAGCTCAAGCATATGGTGCTTGGGCGCAGAAGTATGCCTGGACCATCCGCGGGGTATACCATAAATGCTCTCTTTCACCTTGTGCTGGCAGCCCTTGAAGGGTACTGCTGCGCTAGCAAGAGCAGCCACAAAGGGGAGCCCGAGCAAAGAGATAAGTCTCATCGTCAGTACGAGAAATGCTTGCACTCACGAGAACCTGACAGTGTTATATGCGATAATTTTGGCGATCCCGTGTGACGTTAGCCGATTCCCCAAATGATCATGCTCTCAACTCGGATCCTCAGGCCTCAGTCCGCATGCATTGCTGAGAAAATCGGTTTGATCCACATGCATTCTCCCCGTGGTACTGATTTGATTGGACGACTGGCCCATCAGGCCGTTGACCGTGATAATATAGCTGTGATATAGTACCCATTTCAAGCTGGCAAGTTGCAGTCAGAACGGCCGAGAGGCTTGCGGGGATGAGTTCTGCCCTGTGAATTGAACTTCTTAATGACCAGGCATGCGAACGGCGCCACCGGTACCTGTAATTATATAATATATTCTCAAGCTGTCAAATATTCCTCCCCATAGTTACTGGGCGACTACTCATCCGTAGGGCTCAAATACCGCGGGATACAAGCGGAATAGAACAGAAAAAAAGACAGAAGTTCGTGCTATACTTCCCACGATTCAATAGCCATCAGAGAACTGATGATCATGATGCGGCCGTAGTGATGGGTTCTTCATTTCAGTTATATTGACCCTCTTACGACAATGTAAGCGGGGCATGAGTGTCAGGGTATGTGTTGTTCACTAATCATCGACATCCATGACTGTCGACGTTCAACGCAACGTTGGACGTTTACATTTTCAAAATCTCAAGCTTCAAGCTGCGAGCTGCGTCGTGCCGCCTCGGCATATTCTAATCTCAGCGCGCACTGCTGTTCGTCACAAATAAAATAAAGTGCTCGTCAATGACAACTCATTTCAATTATTTCTATCCGTCATACTCGTAAGCAACATGCTACTCAGCAACGGTTTATGTCGTCAGTTCATTTTTTTGAGCATGCAGGATGAAATGAACTGCGATAAACTGTCAAGTAAGGTTTTGTGTGGTGTTCTGTCGCGGAGAGTGAAACATCATGACTTCACCGACCGTGTCAGTGTATATAAATGAGGCTGTATACCTTACCTCTCGACGACGCTAGGCGGACAACGTCGGGCCCACGATCAGCACACACAGTACTCATACAATGTCAATCACGTCAAGTGATACAGGTTTATGGCTGTTCCACCCGTGAAGAGCACTCTTCAACAAACACCTTGAGTTCTTCGTTGCGACGCAGTGAATATACTAGGAATCCCTTGTGTGTTGGCGGAGGATCATGGCAACTTTAAGTCTTTAACCACACAATTCGCGCCACCCCAACCGTATGCTCTAGTACTTCATATACATGACAGGCGAGTTTCAATGGTATATTTCTCCGAGATTAGCCTGAGCAATCAGGTAGAAGCAAATTAATGGGCCAAACATAATGTTTCAGGTCTATCGACACGTATAACAAACCCTTGTCATTTGCCAGCTTAGTGACAGAAGAACATCGGCGCACAGCCGGCCACGTCAATCAAACCATCGAATACGTATTCCATTGTCTTGGTTAATGTCGATCTCATTATATGCAAGTACTCGAGAAATTATCGTGAGTACCAACCCACTTTGTGTTGTGCACTGATGATGAAGTTCGTCACTCTGCTTGTGTTTCCCTTCGCAGCTGCTCTCGCTAGCACTGTACCCTTCAAGGGCTGCCAGCAAAAGGTGAAGGAGAGTATCCACGGTCCACCCCGCGGGTGGTACAAGCATGCTCCCGCACCAAAGCACCACATACTCGAGCTCAAGATCGCTCTTTCTCAGCACAGGTTCCCGGAACTCGAGCAGCACCTCTGGGAGATAAGTGATCCTAGCCACGCACGTTACGGGGCATACTTGTCGAAGCAGGAGACTGAGACACTCATGGCCCCCCATCCTGAGACTCTGGCCGTCGTCAGCGAATGGTTTACCTTACACGGTCTTGCAGAAGAAGAAGTTATCCATTCATCCGCACGCGATTGGGTTACTATTCGTGTCCCAGTCGGTCTCGCAGAAGAGATGTTGGATACTGTGAGCGAGGCAATGCCACCTTCGGAGATTACAATGCATTGACAGTTTATTTCTAGACCTACCATGTTTATAAACACGCTGAGACTGGAGAGAGCATCGTCAGGACTACGAGCTACAGTCTCCCTGACATCTTGCACCATCATGTTGATCTTATTCAGCCTACGACCATGTTCGCTCGTTTCAAGGCATTCAAGAGCACACCGCACTGGACTAACCAGGCGCAGCCTGCGGCCCCATGCCCGCCGGGCGAAACGATCACGGGGCCTGCAGGCAATCCCGTCGATGCGAGCTGCAACTCTACGATCACCCTTTCTTGCTTGCGACAGTTGTATAATGCAGAGAACTATAAAACAACCGCCACAAACTGCAACAAGCTGGGTATCACTGGTTATCTTGACCAGTATGCCAATAATAAGGACCTTCAACAATTCTACCTGGCCCAAAATCCTTCCGCTTACGGTTCGAATTATACTTTGGTTTCTATTCATGGTGGGTTGCAGTCCGGACTTCGTCGATAGCCATCTTATTCATTTGCTTTACAGGCGGAAAGAACAATCAGAGTTATGAAGAGGCAGGTTTGGAAGCCAACCTTGACACTCAGTTTGGTTTCGGACTCGTATGGCCCACTCCCGGAACGTTCTATACAACTGGTGGCAAGCCTCCTTACATCCCCGACCTGGTGACACCGAATAATACAAATGAGCCGTACACATACGTGCGTTCAGACCATCACGATTGCGATTGAATGTATTAATGACTAAGATCTTCAGTGGCTTGAACACTTACTTTCACAGGATGATATCCCTCAGACAATCTCTAGCAGTTACGGTGATAGTGAACAAACTGTCCCGTACACCTATGCGACCCGTGTTTGCGCTGGTATGGCGTCTCTCGGTGCTCGCGGTGTTTCTTTGTTGTTCTCTACTGGTGATGGTGGTGTTGGTGATGGCGATTCCGACCCTGCCACTCAGTTTTGTAAATCCAATGATGGGCGCAATGTTACAAAATTCCTACCGACATTCCCCGCTTCCTGCCCATAGTGAGTGGTATTTCTAATCAAAGAGTACAGCGACCGATTTGGACCACAGCGTGACTGCTGTTGGTGGTACTATCAACATCCCAGAGACTGCCGCGGCTTTTTCTGGTGGTGGATTCAGCGACTATGTAAGTAATCTCTGCCACATGAAAACTTTCTGACCCATACATTACAATTGTATAAGTTTGCTCGTCCTGCGTACCAGGAGGCTGCTGTCTCTGAATACTTAGCGATGCTCGCTCCCGACACGTTCAAAGGTCTCTATAACTCGTAAGTCACCACAAGCTGGCGAATGCACAATGCACAATTGGCTCATCATCTCTAGGACCGGACGTGTATGTCGACTCCTCGACTTGCGTAAATCTTATGGAAACCGTTTTTCTAGGCATATCCCGACGTGGCAACACAATCAGAATACTTCTCTATCATTTATACAGGTCAGGAGACTCCAATCGGTGGTACATCCAGTGCCTCGCCCACCTTTGCCGCATTTGTATCCATGCTGAACGACGCACGCATCAATGCTGGAAAGACTCCTCTTGGCTTTTTGAATCCATTGTTATATTCCACTGGCTACACTGCATTAAATGATATCACCCAAGGGAACAACCCAGGATGTGGAACTCTGGGCTTCAATGTAGGTCATGTCTGCACGCCTTCAGGTCACATTGCTGATGTGATACCTGTATGCAGGCCACTGTTGGATGGGATCCTGGTGAGTTCATGAAGGCAAACAGAGTTATGACGTGTCTACATGCTGATCATACCCGTAGTCACTGGACACGGCACACCCAACTTCGAAAAATTGAAGGCCTTGGTCTTGGCCTTGCCTTAAATTAAATCCACGCGAAATCCATTTTGGTAGATAGGATCTACGATGGATGTACGTGCATCGTATACACTCCTTCACTCCTGTAGGGTTTTCACCGAACAATTTCAATATATAAGCGAGAAAAAATTACGTACTGAGCGGTTCAAGGCAGTAACTCGGACCGACGCTACATGATGCAATGGACAACAAAACAAGGTCATTCGGAGCAGGAAAGTGATGTTGTTTTAATCTTTCATCTCCGCACTCTTCTCGAGGTCTTCCCAAGTATTCCAAAAACCGGCACAGAACAACCACTTCCGAAAGAGCGCGAGTACAGTTATATATAGGCCCATCAGAGCGTCTAATCCCTTATTCCGGCGTCCGTGCGATCCATCACCACGATCTACACGAATCAGTATTTCCAACACTCGCAGGCAGGCTGTGTCACTCGTATTGCAGTCCCTGGTGTTGTACCGATAGATATTTCGGACCTCCGAGTATAAGGTTGACTGTGATCATCGGTGATGCTTGCACTTGTCAGCCTGGACTTGAAGCTTGGGGTCCGATGGTAGCTCCCGTTCCCAAGCTCCTTGAGGCTTCAACGTTGCCCGTCTTAACAGCTCTTAGCAACGACGAATCACTAAATTATTGGGAACGTCCGGGAAACGGCTTTGGCGGCTGGCTCTGTATGGAGATTAAACGCTGCTCCATGGTGGTGAAATAGCTCGCGATCCGGCGGTGTGTGATGATATAGTACGGTCTTGTCATATCAAATACTCGAATTTTGTCTTCTTGAGCCCCACTACGAAGATATCTACAGATACATTAAATTTCAAAATTTCAAGTATGAACTAATTCAAATCAGATCAATGTCGAGACAGGCAGGAGACTCGGAGCTTACAATAACGGACGGGAAATATCAATCATGCACTTCATGGTGGCAGCAGGCACAAGCTTGTATGGGAGGTGATAGACTAGAACAACGTTGATTTTACATAATATCGATAGGCCAAAATCATTTGTTTATCCTTAAAGCACTTACTACTAGTCACAAAGCTTAAGGCGCAGCACAACTTCGGGATCGAGACGTCATATCCACTGTCATGGTAGGGAATCGTCTAATTGCTGTGCATGTGAGTAGTTTGTTTGGCAAGAGCCTCTGATCCAAACGAAATCCTTGAAGCATTGACGTGACGGCTCCGAGTCGGAGTTTGACGTGGTACTTCGGTTCAAATAATGCTACTGCAATGGTACATGCTCAGTCCTGCAGGCCCGTCCAAGCTCTCTGCTATCAGATTCTCGTCACCAAGCAGAGTACATTCGATCAAGATATTTCCCACAGACGTGCAGCCTCCAGATATCAAATCATATCATCGCGTACTAAGTGCAACTATTTTTCATCATCATGCTGCATGGTATAGAGATACCCATATAGTCGGCCGCACAGGACCAGAAGCGTACTTTCTTGATGTATATGTCAACGCCTACCCCGTGGGCTCACTGGTGGACGCGAAGCAAAAGCTCAAGGCACCTAATGCACTCATGCCAACCGTCATCCCATACGCAGGTGGTGTAGTGGAATATGCAGTGAACACGAGCTCTGAGGTACTTTGAATGCCATTTATATCTTTTCTTTTCCAACCCAAACTCTCAGTTCGCGACTCGTTCAACGATTGTACGTGGAGACTTTGAAATAGTATCGTGGCAATATAAAGCGATGATGTTTCAGATAGCCCACCCAAGCCAACTACTGATTCTCCCCTACTCACCCATTCCTCTGTTCCCCTCGTGCCTGCCTTAGACGCTACAAAGAGTAACGACCCAAATGCTCTTGCGAGGAATTTGCTGGCGCTCTTTCCCAATGCGCCCTCCCTTTCCCTCGTCACCCGCCTTATGTTCTGCCTCAAGCAACCTAATGATGATTCGAACCTCCCGGAACTTCCGCATCTTTACTCCGACCTGAACGAGGAAGAAGTTGATATCGATTGAGATAGTGCATTCCGATCTTTGAGCCATCCTGTAGTGGATGACATTTCATCAGAGTAATCGCATCGTTTTGCAAAAAAGGTCTCAGAGGCCGTCGGTCCCAGGGTACGTCTTGCAAAATCAATCCCCACCTGAACCCATTAACTCGTTTCGTAGGACGATGCACAGTCATATCTCATTGCAGGCATTCTTGCTCTGCTTCACAGACTCCTGAATTTCTACAGGCTTTGATCGTAGGTCAATTCTTAGGTGCACAGTACTTGTTTTCACACTCTTGCAGCAAGCGCTCGAACCCGAGATGATATTTGACCCGTCAACCTTAGATGAAGACGCTCTATTCACACTTTTGGATGCATCTACGAATCCCAATATATCATGGTTGTTGAAGGCGTCGTGGTTTCTTAATGTCTTACCGCTGGCAGTGCTGATCAGCTTGCAGAGATAAAGAGCGAGGGATTCTTACATGCGAACACAGCAGTCTTCCTTGCATATATCGTAACGCGCTCCTGCACAGTAGTGCTACCTGGGCATCTCGTCTATTCGTCGTTAAATTTTCCTCTTCATTCACAGGCTCACTCACAGTCATGACGGAAGTTCCTGTAGAGCGTCAATTTCCATTCCCCATCAGCCAGTTCCGTCGAATGCGTAGGTGAAAACCGTGGAATAACGAAAGCAGTGATAATCCACAGTCAATGTTCGTTTCAAAAATAAATTCGATAAATTCGCTCTGGTCGGGGGCTTGGTGCGTGAATGCTGTTATGATACCTTCAGCCTGATCGGATCCAGGGATCAGGTCTAGGAAGCACTTGGTTTTTTGCTGATAATGCAACGTTCGCTTCAAGTTAAAAGACACATAAATTCTATAACAGGAGAGAAATACGCTCTAGTGGGAGGCTTGGTGCGTGAGTACCGTTGTAATACATTTCTGCTATTTACAGTAGACGAAGGACATAACAAACGAAAGGATTCAGAGAGGCAATATCACGAGAATACATAAGAACATGTAGACGAATGGCAGCTAACAGATGATCTAGGGGAAATGGATTGAAACATACAAAAAACCCGCTACTGACCGCAGCGGCAATCGGCATGGTCCTTCGCCACCCAGGATGCTGGCTTTGCTGTGGACCTTTGGCCATAATGGGACGAGCCTACTTTCCTGTATCTCCGCAGCCATTGTGCCAAAATACCTGCAAAATAATTCATCGTAAATGACAATTCAATATATCAATGGGAAATTCTTAGGACCTTTGATCGTCGAAACTCCAGCAATAATTTGCTCGCACCCAGTTTCCTACTCCATCAAGGTACTCCTTGACTAGGATGTCGGTGGAAGGGCCCCATGAAGGGATGTTCGCAAGACCGTCGATAAACCTTGTCTTGAGTTTGGTGTGATAGGCGGCTGCCCAACCCATCGCACTGCCTATGTCGAGGCCAAACTCTACCATGACAACGGTTATCAACGAATTATAGTCGGTTCCGTCCGCTTGTTCTTTATTGTACGAGACCATATCCTATTAAAATCGTCAGCATACTCGAAACCAGGTCTTTAGTACGACTTTACATTGTCGACTGTAATCAAATCTGCAGCACATTCAAGCATATCCACGACGGCAGGATGGTAGTACACTTCATCAGGGAGATTCATCTCCATTCCACATAGTGCGAACCAAGGTAACATGCCACCTGTCTCCCGTCGGTACTTAAAATGGTCATCGATACCGAGACAATGTCCTTGTTCGCGGTCACTAGCTTCGACAGCTACTGCACGAAGGTATGTCGTAAAGCTATCAATGAAGCGGGGGTAACAAGTCGTGCTTATGGTCTGCATCGCACGAGCCGAACATCTACACAAAATTCAGAATCATGCTCAGACAAGCACCAGCAGAGGGTACTTACTGTCGCATCATTTCTCCAACGATGTATTCACCTTCTGGTCGTATCTTGTAAGGATTGTGTAAGGCATCGATGACGATGTCTACTATTCCTTTGGCACCTGCTGCAGTGCTTCTATCTGTGACCTCGTCTACAACGAGTTGCACATCCAGTACTTCGCAACCGACTCGGAGATGTTCTACTCGGCAAGAATAAAGTCAAGGCTCAGTAGTGTACGCCGGTGGTTGGATACTAACCTCCTGATACAGTGGGATGAGCCAGTGCTACCGCGTAAGCTATAAACCGATACGTGTCAACGATCTTCAGAGGTAACATCGTGAATAGCTCCAACCTAAATCATACTTGTCGAACGCTTTCAATAATTCTGGATCCAAAGTTTCGAAACTACGAAACCAAGCACCAGCTTCGATTTTCACAGCTTCGTAATGAGGGTTGACTGCGCGAGGCCATGGCCAGTTGGTCATGGTATCCGGGAGGTAAATCGTCTTTGGGCGAGCATCCATGACCTCTTCAAGTTATTTCTGATGATCAGTAATAGAGCTTATGAGTTGTAGGGGGGGGGGGGGGGGGGGCTGAGGATAGATGGCATGTCACATAGCGTCCCTTTATACAATGTGAGGACAAAAATTTGGCCCTACCTGCATTCCACCGCCGCCGATCAGTAAATTGATAAGTCTTTGACGTCATTGACCTCTAAATATTGCAATTGTGGAGAATGTTCTTGGTCGGTTCCATCCGGTCGGTAATCGATAATCCGTGACCAGTTGCGGTCTAAGGCGACAGGTTGCAGATAGGGCGCCGAAGCTCGAGCCTGAGGCCCGAGGCCTTGATACTTTGAGTTTGACAATTCTAAAATGTTGTTGTCATTTTTTTAATCCTTATTTATTATCCTGCGGGGCGAGGCCCTACTATAGTAAACAATACCTACAATATTGTCAATGTCTTTTGAGACCCCCTGTTAACATGCCGTCCGGACTCAATGGTACCTACCTGGTAACCCCGGGCCTTGTGGTTTTAAAACACATTCAGGCGAGTTGTGTACATAAACTCGATGCGGACTGAGTTCGCTTCGAAATCACCAAATTCTTCTATCTGAAAATCCAAAATTCAAATTCAGAAAAATGCAGTCTCTAGTAGCATCAGCAAAAGACCTTGAAATTTCGCTTGTCAGAAAGAAGTTTGATGCTTACGGTGAGCTTACGGCCTGGTGATCGGAGCAACGCGATTGGTGGAACAAACTTTTCCGTTGTACACCGTAAATACTCGATATCGATAGTGTTATAATTTTTAAATGGGTGTATGTATTGCATTATATGTTATTATATTGAGATTGAGTTGAAATACTAGTCTAGGGTTCGGAATTGCATTTCCAAACACCGAGTAGGGTCATTTGTATTGATCATTGGGCCATTCAGAAAGTTCAGAATCACAGCAATCGATTGACATGCATTCAAATCTGCGCTACTAATACTATTAACGATCAATACTACGCGAACTCCGTACTAAACGTATGATAACTTTCTTTATCTGCAAAGTTATTCAAAAAAAACCGGTCATAGGACTCCAAACACGTTGTCGCAGAAATGTCCTTGTTGACCTTCTCACCGTATTCTGGTATCAGTTCGACAGCATGTGTAACATCCGTCAACAACACCACACCACCACGCCTATAGCGTTTGCCATGTTGGTCCACCACATATGACCGCTCTACTGTCCACATCGCGAGTTCGGGACGGTCATTGGGATTGGCGACGAAGTCAAAATATTGTATGTAGAGGAGCAGACTGGAAAGATATGTTGGAAGAACCAGGTTGGAAGCACGTGGAACCTTGGGCTGAAAAATAAGTCGAACTTGGGCAACGCGACTTGCTGAATATCACCTCGTTAGTGTTAGAATATGACAGCAGAAAATATACGTACTAATTTGGCCATCATCACTCGTAACATCGACAAGGACGGTATCACAGTTCCCGAGGGGAAATAGGTCGCTGGGAGGGTATGATTGGATCACCCTGCTTGGCATGATCACTTGAGGTTGGAAGGCAGAGTGAAGTTGCAATCGAAATTTGTTCCACGCGTAAAAGCGTCCATGTCTGTGGTCCCAGCGAGTATTCTCGCCACTGGAGAGGGAAGAACGCTGGATGAACTGGGAGACTGCGTGATCAAAATCAACGAGTGCGTATTTGGTAAGAATATCGACGGGCGACAGGGACTTGAGATCTGGTGTTGAAGTTAAATGGAAGGCAGTGAGAGCATCTCCAGAAAGAATGCCCTTGTGAAAATGATTACGGACTCGTCGAGGTCCATGGACAGAATATGCTTCATCGGGGAGTATATGAGAAATCCAGGAGAGTGCTGGGTTGACGGTCGTCACTTCCTCATCTTCAAGGTTTATGGCGTTGACGAGCGATGCGCCATGGGAAGTGATTAGCGCGTACAGGTTGAACAATTCCATTGACTCCTGGCGATTGAGAATCTGTACACACTGCTCCGTGAAATCATTCACTCGTCGACTTGTTCGGGCAAAGAGATCCTTGCAGTGAGTGATGAGCAAGCGCTCCGTCATGTCGGCTGAAAACTGCATCAAAGTACCCAGTCTCTCAATCGTGCCTCTGAAGCTTTGGAGTAACTCGAGCTTGGGGATGAAAAAGTCTTCTTTGGCGCCCTTCTTCCCCCTCCTCGCCTCGGCCTCGACGATAGCATCCTTGAATGCATGAAAATCGGAGAGTGCCTGCACCATCGACTGTAAGGATTCGGGAGAATGGACTGGATTTTGAGCATAATAGAAAAAATCTATGAGAGCGCGGATTGCGCGAACGAATCTAGGTGGAGCAGCGCCTGAGATTGAAGCAACAATGGTGCGTTGAATATCACGATGCTCACGCCCAGTCATTTGGTTGACGTGCGTGATGCCTTTAGTAAAGTGGTGCGTCCCTACCCGTTTGTGCTGAGTGATGAAGCGGGTGTCGAGCTCGGTTTTTCCTACTATCTCCTTGATCCATTTGAGTGGATGATCTGCAAAAAACTTATGAAGGGTATGTAAAACTTCGCCAGGGAGAAAGACGGATGGACACGAAAACGACCAATCAAGCCAATATGGCATGTGGACCCCAGACAGATGGGCAGCTTTTGCTGCCTTCTGAAATTTGTCGAGATCCCAAGGATCAATCTCTTTGGCGATCTCGTGTATAAGTTGTAGTGTGTGCTTCCCAGTGCGAGGAGGATAGAGAATTCCGTCACCGAATTTGTCTTGTGTCGCCATAGTGATTGGAGAGACATTCTTGCTGACTGCAGCGATCATGGAGGCCTCAGGAAGGTCACATACATGGGCGATGAGTGGTGTAAAGACGTATCGAATATGTCGGGAAGGATCAGGCATAAAACAGCCATCACTCGCTGCAACCTTCAGGTTGGCGCAGACGAGATCAACGCACTTATGCCATAGCCACGCCTGAAGAATGGTCTGATAGTCGGAATGCACGCGAAACTTGCTAACAGGCATGTAGGCGATACAGCGCCAAGCTCGCAGGGTGGCCTTGGAGCGAACCTCCGAATCGATGTTACCGATGGTGATGAAAAGTGGGTGCATCTCGAGCCCTCCAGTAATCCGCGTGACAGGAGTCTTATCGGATCCCAGGATGATAGGTACTTGCGTAGCACCTACTGGCAGATAGTCCTAGGTATATAGAATTAACTTCAAGTAGTAGACTTAAAGGGCCAAACTAACCTGGATTTTCCATGCCATATCGGCACTCATATAATCTCCATACTCGCGTTGACTTCCTGTATTGACTACGTGTGGCTGGAAGGTAATGTGATTGGCGAAAACCGGATCGCTGAAAAGTTGTTTGACAACCTCTAGAGCATCGCACCAAATAAGTTGCACGGGATAAGTCGTCTTGTAGCCCGTAAACTCTAGGTTCGAAACTTTCCATGGCACAAAGGAGGGTAGTGCATCGGTCCAATCTAGAAGTTGCTCCTTGGAGGTGAAGGATGGTTTTGGGCGAGTGTGAAACTGGAAACAACGGAGTCAGGCCTGTCGAGCAGCACTCAAAGTCTCTCCTACCCATTTTAACTTTAAAAACTTGTCAATCTGAGCTTGAGTTAAGTTTTCAACCAAGAACTTTGCCAACTCCCATTCTCCTTCATCATGGAAAGGGTAATACGTATTTATTTCTCGCCGATAATTATACTGATCGTCTTGCAGCCTGTCAAACAGGTTCTTGCCAACACCAAAGACATATCCCGAGTGCGGATGACAATAACCAGTAGTGGTAGAAGGTTTTGACGATTGGGAACCTCGCAACCCAGGGGGAACAGGGAATTGATGCGGACGTTCCTCGTGCGGCCAACAGGTAGACTGAGAATTCAAGTGCAGGGTAATGGCCTCGATTGTAGGAAACTCTTTACTGCAGTTGGGACAAAACCTGGTACAGGTATGTCCATTGATCATCAGCACTATTGAGTGACAATGATAAGTATACGCACATTTGCTGCCCTTTGCTGAGTGCTAGGCGTTACGCAGTGCGCAAATCGATTCAGTCTTTTAGACTCCGCCGGCTGATGTCAACCTTGTGATAATCCAACAGGTCGCTTCATATAATTGCAGATTTCCCAGTTAGCCTTCCGCAGGTTCTCCCAAGTCCACCCTTTGTACATGATGATTCATACAGTCTCTTCTCCACAAGTCAGTTCCTCCCCCGTTTCTCGAGGCGGTAGTTGCCCTCCTCCATCAAGCAGTCCTCCATCTTCACCTCTGTCAGGCGGACATGCTACCACTCCTGGATCATCTCTTTTTGATTCCAGTCTCAAGTCAGAAAGCTCTCCCAATACGAGGCATTCTGACATATGTGCTTCACTAAGAAGCATATCCTCACTGTCAAAGACACCTCAGATTGCAGCTGCCAAATTGGAGACGGACAGCCTATTCTATAATCCGTCTACACCTCCAAATCCTGCACGCGCTTCTCGACGTGGCTTTATCCGCGAGAGAATGAGCAACAAGTTCATTCCGTACCCCCCCTCTCCGGCTCCAATTGAGGTCCATTATGCAGCTCGTGTCACCGGGCGAGAATGCAAACCATACGTATCCTCTGACTCACTTCTCGAGGTATCGTGTATTTCTTTTATTTAATTGTAGAGACTAAATTATTGAAAGCATGCCGGAACATTGGAAAATGGCCTCACGCAAATGCGTCCTGCAACCTTGTACAAAGGGTATCAAGCAAAGCTTGTTGCTCGTGAGACTGCACGCCAGCGCATGTTGGTGACCGCATGGGAAATCGAGGAAACCGAGCGCTTCCTTGAGTTCCTGGATGTTCTGCATGTCGACAACGAAGAACGGCTCGGATTCGCTCAAGAAGACTTAAACATCTTTAGGAAGCTATTTTCTGAGCGTGACCGTTCTGATGTCAATGACGACAGAGATTACCTTCAAGCTGTCTACGAGGATGAAATGGAGATTCTTCGCGTTGTCTCGCTACAAGCTGAGCAGTTCTCAAAGATCTTAGGTGCACGTGTCAAGAAGGATTTCTTGCAACCTGGAGCCAAAGGATCGGGATCACCATCGCCTGAGCCTGGGGTTTCGATTAGAGATAATCTGGTATCCGCAGATCAGGAAGATAACTCACAGGTTTCGGTCAATTCGGCAGCACAGTCCGCACACCCTTCCCGTATGCCGTTATTTGTATGAGCCCTGCGCTTCCAATTGAGGTATGTATACACGTGTCCGGTCATTATGCGCTCGACTGATCAATCGATAAGAACGCATTGTAACATGCATGCTACAGTTTAGCAAATCCATCATGGCCCCTTTCTCATTTGTATTCATTTTTCACATCTGCAGCTGTTCTTTTTACATCGTGCCCCTTCATTTTAACCCTTATCCTGTTCGCAGCCCCATGTCACAAGACGTGTAGTTTATTTGGGTGTTGTTTGTGTACAGTCGCTTCTCGTAGAATTCAAATTGGACTGCTCTCTGCGCCCATGCATCCTCAACTCCCTCTACTTTATGGCCAGCAAACGTGCACCGCCCCGCAAAGGTAAGACTAACTTTGCGAAACCTGCTCGTGGTTCGGGCCTCAACCCATCTCATGCTCCCGTGGACAGTCAATTGAATCTCGTTGATGAGCAACCGCGCGAACCGATGTCTTTTTTTAACCCTCACGCCTCAAATCAGCCGCTGCCATTCAATCCTCACACTACCCACCATCCGCACCATCCACAGGACTCCGCGCACCATCAGCACACGTCCGCTCCCCACCAGCGTGAGTCTACTTATGATCAGCATGAAGACTTCGCCCAGCATCAGCAAGAAGATCTCGCACATCATCATCAGGATTTCGCCCAGCATCAGCATCAGTCCGCTCCCTACCAGCGCGAGCCAGCTTACCAGCATGAAGATCTCGCGCACTATCAGCATCAGGACTTTGCGCCTCCTCAGCAGGACTTTGCGCCTCCTCAGCAGGACTTTGCGCCTCCTCAGCAGGACTTTGCGCCTCCTCAGCAGGACTTTGCGCCTCCTCAGCAGGACTTTGCGCCTCCTCAGCAGGACTTTGCGTATCCTCAGCAGGACTTCGCGTATCCTCAGCAGGACTTCGCGTATCCTCAGCAGGACTTCGCGTATCCTCAGCAGGACTTCACGTATCCTCAGCAGGACTTCGCGTCTGGCGCTGGATCCTCGACCGGATATGTTGCTCCGTCATTAGGTAAGTCTGCCTGCGCTCATAACATATGTCTAGCACTTACCCTTCCACCATAGCGCCCAGTTGGGTCGGCGATGATGAGGAATTTCAGACTCATTCAGTCCTGCCACCGGATCTCCACCACTTACGGCCAATGTCGACGGGAGAGATCCCCAACTCCCATGTGATACATGTAAGTCAATGTTAGTATCTGCATCATCGAAAATTGACCTGACATTACTAGACTACAGGGCCTGCAAGGACATCGAAAGCACGTCGTTGTGCAACTCGATGTCTGCCCCCCACACCACGCCTTGTCATTCCTGTTGTGACGCCCACAACGATGACGGGGACTGTTGCACCTCCGGAATCCATCGAAGGTTCCGCCGTTGACATTAGTCCCGAGACGTGCAAACAAGCGATCTCGGCCTCAAGGGAACGCGTATTATCCATCGTCTTTTCCGACGACGCACTGGTATCTCTCGCGGCTGACAAAAAGCGCATCGTCAAAAAGGTCATTTCCGAAGTAAGATCTAGAATACCAGCCCTTCTCGGTATGAATTAACACGCGAACACTGACTTATACTAACTATTTGATCCTACTAGTTGCAACACAATGGACGGCTAACGAAAAGGACGTCGCGAACGTTTGGTGCGCAGTGACGAAATTTCGCACTGCATTCGCAACGATCATCCGACAAGCTGTCGTGATGGGATATTCCCTCTTCCCACCACAGGGCTGTACTATCCCCCCAGATACTTTTCGTGTCGATCGGATACGCTGCCTCGTCGTAGATAACGACTTAGCGTTCATGCATCAATACACTTTTGCAGTAAGTCTTTATTCATTTTCGAGAACATTTTTTTAATCTATTTCGACAGGACAGGTGCGCTTGTCATTCACTCGAAATTCACCAACCCATTCATCCTTCATGTCCTAACGAAACTCATCTGGTGTTCGCCCTTCCGGCTCCACACTTTTCTCGACGAATGCCCACGCCGTCAAATACATTATGCTATTGGCGCAGCCGGCGCCATTACAGAGTCTGCATTGATGGAGCAGGGCTTGATACAACTTACAAAGGGTAGGATTACCCCCCAGATGACGCATTCGACATTCACAAAGATTGTTCTGGGCCTGGATCAGCTAAGTGACGCTGAAAAGGTTATTTTAGACGACTTCACAGACAGCATCGTCGTTTGCGGGCGCTCGCAACAGCAAGCCAACGACGAACTATCTGATTTTGATTTTGAATAGATACATCATGTATACCGATAATATATTCACATTAGCTAATAGTTGTATCTCACTTGTGAAAATTTCGATGCTATTTTACATATTTGTATCGTGTCCGATTCAAAAAACTAACATTTTACTACAACGGCAGTCCCAGAGCGGTACTTTTCTCTCGGTTGAGCCAAAACGACATTTACGAATGCATGCCCTGAGCTATACCCAATCCGAGTTGTTCAGAACAACTTTCGAACTCGTTGTCGGTAACTCGACTCTTTTAGATGTAGTAAACACACTCGGTTGTTCATCTAAAAATGTGGGTCCGTTGAAAAGTCGCTTGCGAGCGTTTTGAAAATAGTTAGCTCAGGTCTCGCGTTCGTAAACGTTCGTTTTTGGTTATGTTGCACCCTGAGTGCTCGTTTTTAGGTTAGTTAAAAGATCTCGTCGTATCGCGTCGATTATCAACACATCTAGTACTGATATGATCATGAGCATCCAATGATAATCTTGATTACACTATACTACAACGAACAAGCTATACATGTAGTAAAATATTATTCAGAATCGGATGAGCTCTCTCCATTGCCTGCCTGCGATGGTCCGACATCCAGCACGTACTGCAAATAACTTTCTAACTCGAGTTTTTCTTCGTCCGTGAGGTCATCGAACGCTTGCACGATCTCCTTGAATTTTTCTTTGTGGTGTTGACCACCAAAAGCGTCGACGGTGATAACAGCGGAGCGCTGTTCCTGCAATGCACAGTGAGTACCGCTGCCAACTGAGGCCATCACATATTTGATGGCCTTCAGTGGCGAGGCGCCGAGAAAGGCTTCGCGGCCCTCGCGCCACACAAAACGAACGACGCCAGCCATGATAAACGCATTCTGAAATTTGGCATCAATGGTGATATTCCCGTGCTGAAAGACTTATAGTTAGTGAAGCACCAGAAGTGTGAGAGCGACGTACCTCGTCCACAGAATATGCATGCATGAAGAGTAGGGGATCAATGCCCCGTATGAGTTTGTTCACCATTGCGATGCGATGCGTTTGTGCTGCTGCGATGGTGCTCCCTCGTGGGGGAAACAGCTTGTATGACACGAAGACACTGTCGCGCGCAAATTGAGCGATTTTCCCGCGTATACTGGACAATGCGTTCGACACTTGTCTCCGATGGGCGTTAGTTATGAAGTTTTCAATGACAACTACAATATTAGTACGATTATATGAATGATTGAAAGAAAAACTCACCATCAGCTTCCAAACAACGAGGCGTCGAGTCTTTGATTGCGTCCTCAAATTGAGTGACGTGTTTTTTCCGCTTCTGCGTCATTGCATGTTTGGTAAACATCACCCGCGCAATCAGGACTTTCCCTCCCTTCACAGCGTCGTTGATGTCGTCATTCGACACACGAACAGTCTTCAACGTCAGCGCTGAATGTTCGGTGGCGACAGGTATTTGTAGTGCCGTCGTTTGTGCTTGTGATGATGTTGCGGCGCGTGTCTGTGGTTCGGTGGTGGTGCGGGGGGCTTGTGGGACAAGGTATGGTGTTCCTGGTAGGTTAGGCCTGGTATTCCGTTTTTTCGTAGTACGTGCCGGCCCCTGGGTCTATGTAGCTGTTAGTTAGGGTAGCACAATAAATGAAAGACTTACATGAACGACCTCTTCTTGAGGAATTTCCCCTCGCCGTAAGAGAGCTAGATTGGTAGCCGGGGGAACAAAGCCTGTCCCTCGGTCTATCACACCGACTCCTCCATCGGAAGCTTCATCAATCCACGGCGGTAAGGGTGTTCCGTGCACGTGGGTACCCTCTTGAGGGGCTCCGAGCGTTCCTAAGGACGAGCTGTCGTACAGCTGGTCCCCCGTGTCTCCGAATCCGTCTTGATCGTAAGGGTACCTGTCGTAGGATGTACCGTCATCATGGGGCTGCGAAGGATTGGGTTGGGGGTTGCTTAAGGACGAGCCGCTGTATGGCTGGCCCCCCGCGTCTCCAAATCCATCTTGATTATAAACGTACCCGTCGTAGGATGTACCATAGTGAGGCTGCAAAAGATTGGGTTGTGACTGCGTGAAAGTATCTTGTTGAGGCTGCGCAAAAGCGCCGAAGGATGTAGAGCTGGATGCGTGTGAGTCGTCGTACTGTGTGGGTCCACGGAAAGAGTGCCAATCTGTTTTTTTTGGCTTGTTAGTTGCGAATACTCGCGATTGAAGTATCACTCACCTGGGCCCCCGCTTTGCCGCTGCATACTGTCTTCGTGTGGATTGAAACCAAATGCTGATACAGAAGGTTGTTCAGCTGGAATGTTGAGTTGATCAGCAGCTGGAAGTCCTGATGGGTTAAGTCCCGATCCCCTTGCTGGCTTGGGGACGGCAGCCTTGCCCTTTCATTGTGAAGGACGGTTAGACATATGGTGGTCAGGAGAGAGAGAGACGACAATCGATAGCGCACTGATTGTTTGAAATTCGATACTATTACACACAAATGTAATAAAGCACACCCAAACGTACATAAAAACATGGCAGTCCGATCACGAAGTGATCTAGTGTGAGCGGCCTGGCGTTGCGATAAGTAAGACTATGGACATATATGGACGGGAGGGAGAGGCATGGTGTTCGAGAAGCAGTTATATGAATGACGCGTGTCCAAAAAGTCGACATGTGAACGGCGCAGTCCGAAAGAATTGAATGTGTGGCTATTCACTGATATGTAAATTAGCGAGTGATGAGCTGGCAGTCAAATTTAGATACCGTGATTTGCAAAAAAGAGGGCACAAAAAGAAGGGCTGTGCGATTAGACCTACGCATCGTGGCCTTCAGATTCTTCGTCATCGTCCGAGTCCATGGTACTGTTGTGATCATCACCATCTAAATCGGAGGACGTATGGGAACCGCTGGGATCAGCCGAGCTGGTGAATTGAGGGCGATGAGAAGATTCTCCCCTAGATGACAGTAAGTCGTTCTTGACGTTCAGGCCCAGAACTTTTCCCATTGTGTCTGCCTGGGCAGCAACGGCACGAAGAGTGTTGCACTCGTCGTCATATACAGATTGAAGGTAGTTCCCGTCATCCTCGATCTCTGAATGGTGACGCCCGGTGAGAGTGGCTCTAATTCTTCGGAATTCTTCATCAGAATATTTGAGGCGCATTTTGCTATCCTCATTGAGCGCCTCAGAAAATTCTAAGAAGTGCTTTGCCTCTTGAATTGCCCATGCTGTAACCGCGAGGCGTTGGCGTGCAGCTTCACGGCCAGCAAGCCTTGCCTTGAATAATTTGTACATAGTCGATAGGTTCATTTCCACGAGGCCCTTCATTATCAATTCCTCGTGCTTTTACCGTAAGATTACACAATAAATAAAATAAAATAAAATAAAATAATGAACGTACCTCTGCAATGTCTTCAGCCGTGAACTCTGGTCGGCATTCTCGCCCTAACGCACGAGCCGAGATACGGAGCTCCAGTGGAGAAGCAGATGTAAACTTCCCAAAAAGGGGAGAAGCTGGAGGAGAAGACGAACGAGGGGGAAGGGATGAGTTGTGGGGTTTCATTGGAGAAACAGGCGTAGGAGAAGACACAGCGTGACACTTTCTACGGGAAGGAGATGCCATGCCATGCGATTTACGAGGGGAAGGGCTACACAATAAGCTCTCTTTTGTTGCAGGTGTGTAGCCAGGCTTCCCACGACGGGACGGAGATGCGAAGTCACGCTTTCCGCGACGGGAAGGGCTATGCAATAAGCCCTCTCTCACTAAAGGAGAGTTTGACACCTCATCCACTGGGGAGAGAGGAGTTGGGGGAGAACCTGAATGATCAGAGCCAGATCCTATATCAGAGGTCATCAAACAGGGTGAGTTATTTGCTTTCTTGAGAAAAAAATCAAAGAATGCTGGTTCAACACGGGTTGCACTGCTGGAGTTAGTGTGAGTAGGGCTGCTTGGTCGAGGGGGAGAGGAAACGTGAGATAAATGTGCAAATTCCATCATCTCGCTGCGCAGACAGCTCACCAGGTGATGGCGGGTGCAGTGAAGGTGCGCAAGTCTGCGGACTTTGAAAGACTTGTGTGCAAATCACTGACAGCTCAGCGCTCAGGCAGGGCAGCACAAGTCGAAGTCTACAATGTAAGTATGCGTCTGTTAAACTCGGTTTACCAGCCTGATCGTGCGCACATACCTTTGCAGGTTATGCCCAAACTGCAAATTGAGAGAGTTTCCGTCCATCGAGTCACTTATTACGCACCTCAATTCCCAATCTACCTGCTGGCCACCTGAAGCACGACCACAAGAATTACCTGTCCCTCCTGTATTCCGTCGAAGTCCTGTTTCAAGTACCACTGGTACTTGTCATCCAGGTTCCGGATATGTCTTCGGCGTTGGTGAAAATATGCTCGATAGGTTGGAAGACGATAAATATGCGTACCGGCGAAAGATCAACCATTGCTACCCTTTCCAGGATGAAGGCGAATGGGAATTAGGGAAGTTCCTGGTTGAAAACCTCACTCAAGCACAAATCACTAAGTTTTTGAAGTTGAAATGGGTAAGTACGATCATCTAAGCTGTAGGCACAAGTCTGATTGTCAACAGTTTAACAATCACGCAAGACCGTCTTTCACCACGAAAGATAATCTCTTGGACTGGATGGACTCGCTTCCTTGTTTTACGGAGTGGCAAGTCTCCAAAATAGAGTTTTCAGGCTACAAGACCGTTTATCCCATCGAACTCATTTGGCGCGATGCGTTGGATGTGGTCAAGCAACTCTTTAGTGACCCGATCTTTGCGAACCATATGACGTTTGTCCCACACCACATCGATGTCGGAAATCAGCGTGAATATGGAGATTACATGAGCGCTGATATGGCATGGAAAATCCAGGTCTGTTCACTCTATTAATACGTTCCTCACCGAGTCACAGAAAGACTTGCAATTTTCTAGGACCACCTCCCTATTGGCGCAACCCAGGTTCCCATCATCTTGGGATCCGATAAAACTCCTGTTACGCGACTTACTGGAGGACTTGAGATGCACCCGGTTTTCATTACCATCGGTAATATCGATTCAGAGGTTCGTTCCAAAGCGACATTACGAGCTTGGCGCTGCATTGCCTACATGCCGATCGTAAAATTCCGTGTGCATCCAGATTATCAGAGTATTCTCCAGGCACGGCTATGGCATAAATGCATGGACCTCGTCTGTGCTAACCTCAAGGCCGCGGCAGCAGAGGGATGTTTCATGCCTGACCCTTTTAGATTCATCCGTTACGTTTTCACGCCACTTGTAGCTCATGTATGCGATCTGCCAGAGGCCACCATGATCGCTGCAGTTGCTAAAAACGCATCTCCTCTGACTATGGCGATGCAAGAGCATTTTGGTGATGGGATCCTCCACCTCCCTCGTACTGGGAAGCATACATTGGAACTCCTTGTCGGTATTGCCAAGACAGTTGATCCCTGGGACCTCGACAAGTTCCAGAAAGTGGCCAAAGCTCTCAATCTGTCTGGAGTTCACATGCCTTACTGGCGTGATTGGATATATGCATGCCCATCCGTCTTCCTCACTGGCGAAATTCTACATACCTGCTTCAAATTTTTTGCTGATCACCCGCTCAAATGGGTGAAGGAGACTGTAGGAGCTTACAAGCTTGATACCCGTTACATTGCTCAGCATAAGCGGGTTGGCACGCGCCACTTCGCCAAAGGGATCACGCATGTCAAGCAAATGACGGGCCGTGAATATAGAGATATACAACGCACTATCGTTGCATCAATCGCAGGTGCCGTTTCACCCAGATTTATTCGCGCAATCCGCAGCCTTGTAGACTTCACATATCTTGCACAACACCCAGTTCATTCACCCCAATCACTCCAAGCCATGACGCAGGCACTTTCGGATTTTCACACCTTCAAGGACGCTATCGTCGCTGCAGAAGCGAGGAAGGGGAAGAAAGGCGTGAAAGAAGATTTCTTTATTCCAAAACTCGAGCTAATGCAAAGTTTTGAGGGTACGATCAGGAGGTTGGGCACGTTGATGCAATTCTCGGCTGATACGACAGAGCGATTGCTCATAACACACTGTAAGGACCTTTTCCCCCGGACGGCTCGACAAAGCAAAGATTTCACGGAGCAGTGCGTTCGTATTCTTAATCGTCAGGAGTCGATGGAAATATTTGATTTATATGCATTGTTGACTTCTCAGGGAGCATCACTGGTCAATGCCATGCACGCTGAAGATGAGGATGTCACAATCGCTAATCCTGCACTTTCTTGGGTTTCCCGCATACTCCCTGACGAGGTAAAGTCGGTTCATGGTCCCAGACCAGTCCATAACCACTTTCTCAAGGGCATTCTTTCTGGAGACGCGCTCACGGCTTTCCAACTGAATGTTACCCCAGACTATAAATCACTGTCACCGGCTGAAATACGCACGAAATACACTCTCCCCGACTTTGATCACACGCTCACTGACTTTATTCGTCGTTCATCCCTGGCTAGCGACGAGCACACCTGCTGGGACCCCAAATATGGGCGCTTCCAGGTGTGGAACAAGTTTCGGCTGCAGCTGCACTCGGCCTTCCAGCCACGGGTCATCATGCCGAGCAGGGTAGTACAAGCCTACCCGCCGAGCGATGATTTCCCCTTGGGCAACTGCGATACCATTCTTATCGATGGCCCGGGCATGGATGGCAACATAAGTATGTGTGTTCCCTGTATATTGAGTGAGCACTACTGATATCATATATAGCTAGTTATGTTGCACAAGTAGTGCTGCCGAAGTCCGGTTCGGTTCGGTTCTTGGGGCAAATTTTCCGAACGCCGAACCGAACCATAGGTTCGGTTCAGCCATTTGGTCGAACCCTGGACCGAACGTCACCGAACGCGTTCGGGAGGGTCCGGTTCGCGTTCGAACCAGGTTCGACTAAGCTTGGACCATCTGTGGTTGTATAGGCTCGAGACCATGAGTTGTCATGTAATTCGAGTCGGACAGACAACGAAAAGACTCTAACGCAAGGAGAACTTCTTTGTACAAAGATTGAATTCAAGTTTCTAAAATAAACACATTTTATTTGCCCGGTGCACATAGTTCCCTGATCACATTCTCATCGATCCTCTTCTCTAAACATATCTCAAACGCAGCAGCATGTACGGTTGCAGTATTCGAGATTGCAAGCGTGTCAATCTTCGCTGCAGGATTCTCTGAAAGGCGGAAAGCCCAGAGAATAACAGCCGTATTGATGAAGATGGACCGATTCGCGACATGTTGACCAGGACACACCCTAGTATTTTCAAGTAAGGCATGAGAAAAGGTGGAAAGATGAACGATACCACTCACCGGCGGCCAAAACCAAAAGTGAAAAACTTGAGATCAGTGATCACCGCGCACACGACCTGCATCGTCGCGCGATGCGCAAAGCCTGTAGTGAAAGGTGGTCGTCCATTATCGCATCATCACAACTGAAATAAGACGTACCTCCAATAGCAGCCACTGTGACACTAATCCCATCAGCTACCCCTGACAGGTCTCCACCTGAGACCCTCGAGGATGAACACGGTAACTTGCGGCATAGCTTGAGCTCGAACGAAGACCGACAGACTCACGAACTGCGAACGGTGGGCAACGACTTGTATCAGCATGGCTGTTGCTCGAACGAGGATCGACACACTCACGACCTGCGAACGGTGGCCAACGTCTTGGATCAGCACGGCTCTTGTTCGAACAAGGAACGGTGGCCTGGTCCGCCAACGATTTGGATCAGAATGGTTCGAGCTCGAAAATCTTGACATACTCACTTCCTGCGAACAATAAGCAACGACTTTGATCAGCATGGCTCATAACATTCCCAAGTAGTACTTACCTATATTAATCATTAGCAAGAGTTCAAAGTGTTTGGAATTCATATAGCGACATAAGATACCTAGTGTTTGAACATGTTGTGACGGTGCAGTACTGTGTCACAGCGCGTCACGACTGCGGCAGGCGCGACAGAGGACCGCGTCAATTTCACCCGGCTCAAACCTGCGCGGGTTGCAGACACATGCATTTGCATATATTGACACATAGTAAATACTTACATCTTTTTAAAAAAGTGTAAAGCGTACAAAAATTGAGAGGTTCGAACCCGTTCGAACCTATTCACTACCAGCCCGAACCCCGAACCTCTGGAAAGGTTCGGTTCTGAGTCTTGGCCGAACCTTGGACCGGACCATGCGTCCGGTTCGGAAAGGTTCAGGTTCGAACCGAGGTTCGGAACCGGACTGCGGCAGCACTATGCACAAGTTCGACTAATTTTTCAGCCAACGATTCGACGAGGTTCAGATGTGGAGCTGCCATCGTACCTTTCCAACCCCCTTCTATATGTCCAGTATTTCCGTTTCGTCTCTCGTCCTGAAGACCGTCCTGAACTCATGATGTGGACCGTGGAACGCGTGTACACTCATGATGCAAATGGTCACCGCCATAGACATGGAGCTGTTGTGCGACTTACGGATGCAACGCATGCGGTCGAATTGATACCGGAGTATGGTGAGGCGGTGGACAAGAGCGTGACCTCTGCGACATGCTCGGAAAGCTATGAGCGTTTCTTTCTGAATAATTTTGCGGACAAGGAGAGTTATCATGCATTCAGTACTGAGTTTGTATAGACAGTAGATTAATCGGTATGTAGCAATTGTATCTATTGCTATTGCATCCATCGTATCTATCGCATCGCATCTCTGAGCATATCGCATCTTATCGAACTCGGCTTCAGTTTATCAGCCAGATATGGTGTGTAATATTGATGTTCAACATCTCCACCAATCGCATGACTTCGCTACTGAAGTCGTAAGCGTTCGTAAGTGTTCGTAACGCGCGTAAGTTAAGCGTTCATTTCAGTCGTTTTGCAGATGTTGTTTGTTTCGAACTGCAGCGCTCAGCACTAAAGTACTAAAGGCTAATCTGTGGTGCGTTCCAACACCTCGGGTCCTTCAGATTTCCAATTTCGGCTTTCTGGATTTTGAGATGCATATGAAAATCCACCACTAAAGAATGTGAGTCTGCACAAGATATCCATTCTTGTTCGTCTCACTCATTGTCACAGTATGTTATCATCAGAGAACCGACAAGTCCTCCAGGCTGCATTACGTTGATTGCAGCGCCTTGACGTCGTAATATAACTTTATATATTGCTTTTAGCGATGAAAATAAAAGACATGCTCTGCCAGCATGTAATGGTATATCCAATACAACTTTCTCACCAGTCCTCTTATGTGCCATAGCGGTCCCGGTCTGCTCAAGGATGGACACGCTCCAGCGGTCAATACCAGCATCGAGCAAGAGGGATCAACAACTGTATGATACGGACATAAGCGCCTGGCCCACTCATGGTCAACCGGTCACACAGGGTCTGAGTGAAGGTCGTGTTCCATTCCACGGGATCTCCTGTTCCCGGAGCCAACAGCCACGAGGCTTGTGTGTAAGAACATGCTTTCTTCACGTTGTATAGAAGGTTTACTCGCAGTAAAACTGTTTTTTCCCATCCCTCCCTTCCTTGATCCACCTGTGTCCACTACAGCACGAATGATGCATAACACGTGCCCGCGATCCAGTTCTGCACCTGCGGATGATGACCCCCTGAACAACGAGTAAGTGGCGAGTTAGACTGAGTTGATTATAAGCTCATGGACACACAGGAGTCCGATCGATGCGAATGCAGTAGTCGAGGAATCTGCCATGTCCATTGAGATCGACCTTGATAAAACTAAGTGAATGTCGTACATTCAGCATGGTATACTTGATGACTGACTTTTAATATCTCAAAGGTCAAGCATCCTGGAGCAGGTCCGAGATGAGAGCAAGCCGAGTAACGTGAGCGAGGAACGTGTGGCGTCTATTGAGGAAGGCCTGTCCAGGACTATGTAAATATTGACCAATTAGTGTGGTACATTTGACGCTAACTATATCATCTCAAAGGTCAAGCACTCTGGAGCAGACCACGGACAATGGGATCGAGCCGAATGAAAATCCTGCGATGTCCACCGAAAAAAACCTTGCTAAGATGTGAGTGTCAACTCATCAGCACGGTACACTTGACATCTCACCATATCTTCTCAAAGCTCAGATACGCTGGCACAGATTCTCGATGTCCTTAAAGAATCGACTATCGCAGAAGAACGCGGAAAAGATGACAATTCAAAGTTTTGGGCAACGTACAAGAAAGTTTCGACTGAGCACGACGACGACTTCCTCGATCGGGCCAATGATGATATGGGCATTATTTTGACTTTTGTGGGTCTCTTTCTACGTATCTCAATGTAAGTCTCACAAGCGCATTAGGCTGGTCTGTTCTCAGCGGTCAACTCCACCTTCATCGTCGGAATGCAGCCTGATCCAGGAGACACTACCAATGCCCTCGTCCTCCAACTCATACAGATAATTGTGAATGGCCCAAATTCCGTACCTGACATCAGCACTCTTTCCTCATCTACGGGATTTTCCTCTTCGACGGTCTGGACACAAGCACTTGCCTACGCTAGCCTCGCATTTAGCGTCTTGGCTGCGTTTGGGGCTGTCTTAGGCAAACAATGGCTGAACTCCTATAAATCAGTTCAAGGACGAGGGTCTCTCGAAGAGCGTGGCATAGAGAGGCAGATGAAGCTAGATGGACTAGAATCTTTCCGCCTGCAGACCATCTTGCGGGTATTCCTGGTGCTGCTCCAGATTTCGCTCCTGCTCTTCGGCCTTTCGCTAAGCGCCAACCTGTGGCCCCAGCAAACCACTATATCCAGCGTTATTATCTGCACCACAGCTTTCGGTATTCTGTTCTACGTGGGCACTTTTCTCGTGTCGGTGTTGCGTCCGGACAGTCCTTTCCGGACGCCAGCCTCAGAGCTATTGGCAACCATCTGCCAAAAGATTTATCCAGGCAAATCTACATCGATCCGTCACGCACTCGCCAAATCGTCCGCCATTCGCTGGATACTGGAGACATCAACGAACCCTGAAATTGTCGAGGCTGCGGCTACGATTGTACCTTGCGTGCAATGGCCCCCGAACCTTGATGCTTCAGCAGCCTTCGCACGTTTACGTGATAATTTCGTAGCGTGTCGTAACAGACCAGAGCTATATGTGAAGTATGGCAAAGCTATGGCCCATCTTTGCATCCAGCCGGTGAAAATCGACAAGGAACTTCTGGGGTTTCTTTGGAATAAAGATTTTAACTCAACCCGAAGTCGTTTCATTCGCGATGCGTTCATGGCTGGATGTGCCGCCTATAAGCAGTTCAAGAGTTCACGGGAAGACAATGCTCGCCGACGGAAGCATCAGGCCAATGCACGCACTGCGCTGAGAACAATGCTTGTCCACGGAATGCGCGATAAACTTTCACGTCCAGACGATGAACACTTGATTTGGTATGGTGATCTGCGCTGGCGTCACAGCGACGAGCGTGAGCCCAGCTGTGAAAATTTTAATTGGCTAGTAGATTACCTGGAGGATGACACAAACACAGATGATGAAACAGAAGGCGACGCTTTGCTTGCACTGAGCGCCATGCGTAGACTAGGGAGCCCCGCCAAACGACCGTCTTACATCAAATCGCTTATCCGCTGTATGCACTCCAGCAAATCTCCCCGAGCCCGGCATACGGCACTTAGAGCCGTATTTGAAGCTCGAGAAGAACTAGCTTCTATGACAAGCGCCTCGGTGCCACAGGGTGTCGATGCGCAACTCCTGGATGGGCTTTCTTCGGCTCTTTTGAGTTCTGTACGTCCAAATGACTACCACACAATCCACGACACTAGACCCGACGGCTCTTTCCGCAAAGATCGAGACTTTTATTACATCCGCCTCATTTATGCCCTGACAGAGAAAGACGAGTGGTGTCGACGTCTGATCCGTGATGGTCATCTTGAATGGTGCATTTCTCTGGTTAACGGTATCTGTCGCGAGGATTATTTGCGGGTCGGGTCCTGCCTTCTTGTGATCTTTGACCGCGTCAAGTCCTTGGACAAGGATCTTCCTTTCAGTCCTGCTGAGGAGAGAAGGCAGTTACCCATCGCAAACGCATGGGACACAGCGCAATATGCTTCACGGGACGACCCCTACGTCGATGGAATACAAGCCCTCGTGACAGTGACGAGGCTGCAATTGTCAGCCTTGGATGATAGTGTTCCGAGGGAGTGGTTCGCAGATCTTGCTGCAAAGGTGCATAGAGCTTTGGTCAATCTGCAGCAGAAGCAAGTGTTCCATGTGAATGCTGGTATAGCTCAGGCTGAAATTGACGCTGCAATATCCTCTATGAAGGACTTGCACACCGACCTGGGTCATATGGTGGAGGAATGGAACACATAGCAAAGGGACGATGAAGCTTCTAGATCGTGAAAGACATGCATCCGTAGCGAAATACTTTTACGTTAGTAACCGTGTAGATTGGCGTCTGGTTCATGAGATGGATGTCGTTTAAGAATCATTGTCTTGATTAAATCATGGGACGATCAATTGGGGAGGGTAAAAGTACAGTAACAGAAGATCACAGAACGCCTTCGGCATCAGTCCTGATCGATTCTGAACTCCAAGAGCATCGTCCCTACAAGATCATAGGTTTGGGTGAGCACTAGACCTGCGCTGGCCCTGCAAATTATAACAAATCAAACATCGTCAATGTATCCAGGCATGGAAGGAACTTGCCCAATGTCCTTGAATTCCTTCAAGGTTCGCTCCTTGCCATTCAAAACAAGCCACATGGCCATGTCTATTTGGTATGTTGTGTGACTACCGAAGTTCAGTAATGTAGGTTCGGGCGCCTTATGATCCTGAATGTATGATTGAACCTTAGCCATCAAGCCACACTCTAAACTTACCTCACTAGACTCGTTAGCCCCTACGTCAGGCCCTTCGAATGCGCGCGAGAGCACGCACTCATCTATCACATGATATCGAGTCTGAAGTAAACCTCACTTTGAAATACAGCCGACTCACGAATCAATACTCGGCTGTTTGGTCCCATTGCTTTGCGAACATTATGGAGAATCACCATCGACTCCTCGTCCGGCCAGTCATGAATGATGCTCCTCAACTTTATGAATTATTGAGCAGTCCGCATTGAATGGGAACAAATTCAGCACTTACGTAGTAAACATCCTTTCCGACGACGGGCGACTCCTCCAAGAAATTCAATGGGACGAACTCTACACGCCCGTCGAGCAGTACCTCAGGAGCATTTGTCTCCCATGTCTGATCAAATATGAATATAACTTGTTTGCTATAGATGTCCGGACTCACATTTCTTGACAGCTTTATAGTTTCTGGGAGATCCTGATTGGTTATTCTGAGATGAGGAAACATTTTCGCCAGAGGAATAGACATTGCTCCGATTCCAGATCCAACATCCACCACAGAGGATACGTTGTCCCAAGGGTAATCTTATTGCCCGCTTCAGTCATGCTGACGGTTGAAAAAACAGTGATCACTCACGATGCGGCATCACAGACAAGCCCTGGATCTCAGAATAGCCCATCATGGCTTTTTGAAATATCTGTGTATAAGATTCTGTGAGCCGCCAGTCAGTCATGAACTGATCATTGGATCTGCACGCACATCGCGTGCCTCATCCTGTACAATATGGTAAGGCATGAAAGGCCAGTATGATGACTAAAACTCACGTCCATAACCCAGAAACTGTTATTTTTGCCTTCCTTTCTGAGAGCGAATGCTCGTGGGGCTCTTTCAACCTTGTGCGACCTTGCAAACTCTTGGTCGACCATAGTCTCATAGAGAACCGCAGCATATTTTGGGATCTCTCGCTGAGTTTTTATCAAAAACCCGACGTTATTTGTTGTCTTGAGCACGAGGGAGATTCGTGTGTTTGTGAATACGTCTCGCTTAACTATGGAACGCCAAAGGCCTCAGAGAGAATTATCAACGGACAGTATGATGCATATTACCTTCTTTGAAGCAACCCCTGAGGGCCAAAACGCGCAACACGCGTGCGATCTTGGTCTTATCGAGGTTGACTGCGTCAGCCAATACATCCACACTAAGACCTTCCGGGTGTTTGTCCAAGACGTCTGCAATACGTGATTGCACAGCGACGTCTATGCATGCCCAATTGTAATTATTTACAAACTAGGAAGATGAGCACAAGGCATACGGGCCATCTATAATCGGCACATACATTATATACCGTGTGTTGGGGGGGAGCCAGTATTGTGTTCAGTTGCTCGCATGCACCTTCGAGCAGCCTGATTGCCTTTCTGAGGGCAAGTGTATCTATCGCAAGATCGAGGGGGTGGAAGGTGCCTGCATCGACACCAGGGACTCCATGTTGAGTGTTCTTGTATTCCGCCATTGCTTTGCGTGCGGAGGAGTTGATGATGTCCAAGAGGGCTTCAACCTTGAGTTCATTTGGCTCCATCATTTTGGGACTGTGTGTGATTCCTCATCAGCCGTTCAGGTTTTATATTCCTTAACCAAATATCATCTAGCTGGATTCCACGGCAAAGACATCCAACATTGGGTATGTGGAAAAAGATCGAAGCTAAACATAGTCTGACCACTCACACAACCTAACTTCTGACTCGGATGACACTGGTTGTCACTCGCGTAACTGATAAGAGCACACGGCACATCTAACCTGAACGACACCCGTGTTACTTGAAGCGAGCCAAGGTTCAGGTAAGTATGATGCTGGCATTTGCAGCGTGCATACTACAGTAATCAGCAAGAGGACGTCATCCACCCTGTGAGGTGTATGTCCGTATCATCAGTCACTGGTCAGTTACCTATCATTTTTGAAAACACCACACTGACGGTGATCATGACTGACCTATAGCTTAATACTTATGGCGCTTCAATTTGCTACTATGACTTATTTGCAAGGAAGTCCGACGTGATCGTCTGAAATTCTCCACCACGCTGCTGCAATAGCAAAATGTACCAAAAGGCTGTCCAAGGCAACCTGGTGGAGTAAACGTGAGTTCAAAATATGGGATGCTAAGACAGGCAAGCTGCTTGCCACACTAGAGAACAAACGGGAAGACTCATAGTTCGGAGCTGGACCTGGACGTCGGATGGAAAGAAGTTTATATCCGGTTCACATGGCCAAATTAAGATATTCAACACCGCCACTTGAAGTCAGTCACTTGGCAGGCGATCGCGATCACACAAACTTCATCTTCTTGTCTTTCAATGAACGTCTCTTTGCAAGTACATCACGAAATAAAACGGCGCGTGTGTGGAATCTAGACACCAACCTCCCAGTTGGTCCACCCCTCCAGCACGATGACTGCGTACGCTGCGCATCGATTTCCGCTGATGGCAAGCTGCTGGTCACCTGGTTGCCGAAATAAAAACACATATACATGGGACATTCACGCCATCATCAAAGAAGCAGGCCTTGAAGACATCCTTCAACCTTTATCTGATGTAAACCTCATGGTTCTCCAGTAAAAACTACGCTAATCTCCCACTCGCAGGTTGCAGCTCAAGAGTCATCAACGAATGTATGTGATTTGTCTCTCAACCTTCCCCGGTGGATGCTACACAGGCTGAGGATGATGACCTTTCTCCAGGCTTTTTCGACGGCGTGACAGATGGCGCTAATGTGCGTCATCAGCGTTTTTAATCGTTTCCTGTTCTGACATCTTGATCTCAGTCCTTTGGAACTTACGCTAACGTTCCTCTTCCCGACGTCCTCGCCCTCCCACATCCTCTTTGGGGAGCGCGAGAGCGCTCTCCGGTTGCCTTTCGTCGCTCCAACCTAATAAATCAACTGAACTCCGGCCACGGTCTATCTTGTCTCGGTCCTCGTATCGTCGAATTTGCTGCAGTAAAGGGCAGAGAGGTGCATATCTCTTCGCATTGCTATCATCGTGGTTTAATGATTTCGGTCCAGGTTATATTCGCTGCCCCTCCACCGCCAAAAAAACAGTAGCAAAGCCAATCGCACGGCCAGGGGTCATCAACGACACAGCCTGCTCCTACTACACCACGTTCAAGACATGCATATTCACTACCCGTCCGATTGTTGGGTCATCTTGTGCTTTTTCTTTGCTGCGCATCCCCTCAACACGCCAATGCCAAATCACAACCAACGCAGCAGCAGCAAGATCGATGGACAGATCAGGCCCAGCCCCAGGCGTCATCATTGTAGATTCAGTCTACTGCCGCCTCGACATCTACGACCCCTGCTCCTGCGATTAGTCCTACTGCGCTAAGTGCAGCAAGCGCGTAGCCACGGCCCCTTCTATGGCAGACTCATTTCGTTATTTTTTCTGTTGTGCAACTCCCCTCAAATCGATAGGCCAAATTCCAAACCCACCGCCTTTGTTTAGGTTTGGAGTGAAATAAACAACCACCTTCCTGCCTTCCCTGACACATTTCTAAATCTGAGCATGATTATCATCCTTCGCCAAGCTTTCCAGCGCCTCGTCAAGGATCTGACATCCGTTTTCATCTGGACTTGATACACAAAGCAATGCCCTCGTCACTTCGCTCCGAGCATATCCATCTAGTTGCACGTGTAGGGTAAATGAGATTCTGAGAACATGGAAGCAGTGGGATTTTCGAATGTGTCGAACGGGCGTCCTGTGCTAGATTGAGCTGTGGTCTGCTGCATGTTCATCAAAATAACGTCGATTTTTCCCTCGACATAAATAATGTCCATAGGTATATATGCTAGCGCTACATCTTTACATCGATGCTTGGTATGCGAAATAAATAACTGGAACATGCGATGGAATGTCGGGTGTTCAACAGGTGCGTTAGCGAGGTGAATAAAGAAACGAAAATCTATACATGATACTATATTGTGACACGGCGTCGCAAATTGGTGGCACGCCTAACGCGGGCCCGCACGATGCGTAAAGCAGACGCCCGCCTAGCCGTACTATGCAATACTCCACTTACTCACCGCAGCCTGCACCAAGCGCCCCATGTCCTCACGAGCTTGTTTCTTTGCGCTGTCAGTGATACCTACGAGTGCATCGAGTGCGCGCGGCGATGTTTGTAGCGGGTCGAACTCGAGGACGTGTCCATCGGAGGTTGAGATCGCGACGACTGCCCGGGCAGAGGACGAGGAAGGGAGGGACGAGAGCGAGCTTGAAGACATGAGAGAAGACGTAGCGGGTTTAGACGCCGGTGACTCCGGTACACGAGCTGCTGTGCGTGAGTTGGCGCGTGAATGCGTGCGGTTATGGTTTTGAGTTTGAGAGTAGGCTTGTGAGTGGGTTTGTGAGAAGGTGGGTTGGGTGGAGGATGAGGGAACGAGCGAGACGGATGGATCACGCCGTATGACTATGCTGTTTACGCGTCGCAGAGTCTTGCCTTGCCCTTGCATATTTACCTGCGTCTCCTTTCCTTTGCCTTTGGTTTTCACATCCATGTCAGAACCCTCCTCTTCCTCTTCAGCAGCAAACCACTCCAAGCCGAGCTTATATGGGTTGGCTAGCGGAGACCCGTTTAGACTAAGCATGCTCTCGTCGCGGCGGGGTGCACGGAGGGTGGGATAAGTGGGGGTCTTAGCAGGCAAAGTTGGAGCGAAGGTTGCGCTGGTGGGCGGGCGCTTTGCCTGGGATGGTGGCTTGGCATTCCATGGGATCGATTTTCCAGGAGAAGACGGAAGTTTGAAAGGCGATGGAGCACGCAATTTAGAGGGAGACGTTCGGAGGGTAGACGGTTTCTGCGGACTGACAGAGGGCAAGCGGAGGGTTGAACGGAATTGCCCGGGGGTACGCGGGACTGCCGCAGATAATGTGCGGATGCGTTGTGCAGTTCCCGCGTTAGCAGGAGGGGGCTTCTTCTTGGGAGTGACATGCATCGTTCTCGCTGAATAAGAAGCGTGTCAATGAAAAGACTGATGCTCAATTGACCACATACCATTCTTAACGGCGCGCTCGCCTTCACTAGCCTCCTCCCACTTGCGTTTGCGAGTCTCACGATCAATCTCAAGATTGGGTGGAGCACCACCCACGAGACCACGAAGACACGCTTGAACGTCGCCATTGTAGGTATCAGCAAACTCGCCCATGGTCACACCGCGCACAAGTTTGGGAATGCGAGAGATGAGCCCTTCTTGGTGAAGCCGAAAGTTTTTGAGCGCGTCTGTGAGCCATTCCTCGAGCTGGCGAACACGGTGTTCGACTACGCAGAAAGATCGAGAAAATTCAGTAAAGCAAAGGTGAGATAATGCGAAACAGGCTTAATGCACCTTCAATGTCAAGATTCTGGAGTAGCTGTTGTTTTTCCTCTGGAGTATATTTGCGGGATGTGTCTGGGATGTACATCTTTACCAGCTTCAACGATCAGAACAGAGATGAGCAAGCACAGGGCTAGAATTCACAACGCCGCAACGTTCTAAAGCGGATTGAAAGTGGACAAACATTACACAGATAGAAGAAGCACGTGGTCGCGTATGTCCATGGACCACGTCCACAAGTCCGTTTGTAATAGGTGGCAACTTTTCGAACTACAGCTGAACAAGTGCAACTCAAGTTACGGGGGCCCATTAGTTACATAGACCTCTCTCACATCTATTCTTCATGTCACAGCGAAAAGAGGTTTACCTTGTCATTGGAGGTAGCGGCTTCGTTGGCCGTCACATCGTCGAGCAGCTTCTAGCTCGTGGCGATATTGTCTGTGTATTCGACATCGTCCAGCGACATCACGATGTTGACTTTTATTCCGGTGATATCACGGACGAATCCCAACTGCTTGATGTATTGAGAAAGGTGCACTACATTACTCATTTCCATGGTCACTGAGCGCTAACTCACTTTCCTTCTCTGTGCGGTGTGCGTCTGTTTGCTGCTGGAATGATTGCAGACTGGTACGACTTGTATAATTCACACCGCCTCACCACCACACGGTGCCAAGGATCCAAGCATATATTATAAAGTCAATGTCGATGGCTGCAAAGCTGTCATCAGCGCAGCGCAGGCTGCTGGCGTGACAAAGCTAGTGTACACAAGCAGTGCTGGTGTCGTTTTTGATGGTGGTGACGTCGTCAACCTCGATGAACGTGCTCCATTCCCGGAGAAGCCATTTGATGCATATAATGATTCAAAAGCACAGGGAGAGAAACTCATACTCGAGGCCAATGGCAAGGGTGGCCTACTGACTGTTGCTTTACGGCCTGCAGGCATTTTTGGGTATGTCATTTCTTCATATCAACCAACGAAATATGAACATTGATACAACGTGGTGCTCTCTAGTGAGGGTGACCGCCAAATGATGGTGGGCCTCTACCAAGCCTATCAACGTGGACAAACTCACTTCCAAGTCGGAGACAACAATAATCTTTTCGACTACACCTATGTCGGTAATCTCGCTAAAGCACATCTAATTGCCGCCGATAAGCTGTCCTCTCCCCCACTTCCTACATCATCACAAGAGACCCTCACTATTGACTCTCTTAAAGCCAAACTTCACCTTGACCGTGCCCTCCAGCCTGTCAGCGCAACAGTCGGAGCAAAGCGAGTCCCAACGTGCGAAGCACGCCCTCTAGGGCCATACGTCACGCTGCCGCCTAACGCCGCCCAGATAGAGGCAGCGTTCACCGCTCCACGCGATCCGCACACTCCCGCGCACCCTATCATACGCTCCCGATTCGACCAGTTTTCCGATAATGCCATTGATATTGCAGAAACCTCACCGCTGCAGGTTGCGGGGCAGGTGTTTTTCATCACGAATGGCGAGCCAGTGTACTTTTGGGATTTCATGCGCCTTATATGGCTTGCGCTCGACCCGCCTTCATCAAAGCTCCCATCGGGCGCATCGGAACGGGCACAAAGGCCTGTGTGGGTGATACCTAGAGGCTTTGGAATGGTGCTGGGCTTCCTTGCGGAGTGCTGGGCGTCCTTGATTGGGAAAGAAGCTGGGTTCACGCGATATAGGGTTGGGTATAGTTGTGCTACGAGGTACCACAATATTGAGAAAGCGAGGCGTGTACTCGGGTATGAACCGGAGGTCGGGCTGGAGGAGGGTGTCAGAAGAATGGTGGAGGTAAGTGTTGGCTGTTGGTTTTTAATTCAGTGTGATTGATCATTCTTTCTTTCCGTACAGTGGTTCAAAAAGGAGAACAATCTTCCGTGATGGCTTTGGATGCCTATTATCTGTATTTGAGTTTGGATTAACTCAAATTTCATTGTGCACTTTGTTCAGATACCCGCGCATTTTGCTTCATTTTCTACCTTATCGATGCACAGTTATATCTACGCATCCGTGGTCGACGCTGTTGGGCTAGCTGCCAATTCATATCGTAGCACCGATATTTGTACATGGAGGCCTTGCATCAATATTAATAGCGAAGGACCTGCCAGTGACTACAGGAATGGAACGATATCGTTGATACTTGACGAAATTTCCAATTCATAAGTCTTACGTACGCACTGCCTTCAATTGATGCACAGAATGTAATCAGAGAAACCCATGGAACAACAGATACAAAGTACTAATCATGAGTCAAGTAACTCAAGATATGCAGCCCGGCAAACCATCCCAGCACGATCGCGAATTTTGACTAACGGATGAGACTCTTCATTCCTATAATCACATCAATTGAGGCTTCCCACGAGCGAGGAATCCATACCTCTGTGCTTGCTGTCGCAATTCTAACAGCACTGACACTGGAACAGCGCCGATGGCGAAACCTTCTCCGCGGGACAAGGACATGTTGCCAGTAGTGACATACCCAATGATAGACGTCTGGGGAGGAGCAGCCTCAGGGGGCTAAGAGAGTAAATCAACCTGTGGATGCATGATCAAAGGGAAAAAAGCGACAAACCTCATTCGCATCCGCACCCTCTCGCATCTTGCCCTTCTCCTTGATGATCTTCCTGGCTTCGTCGTCATCAATGCGGTAGATAATGGCGAGGTCGTTCGGAGCGCCCCGACTGACCATCTTCAGACGGACCATGACCAATGCCCCTTTCAGGAGATCCTCGGGGCGATAACTTGCATCGAGTACATCCATATTACGTTTCGTCCGAAGCCTGTTGATCTCTGCAAGGAGACCTGCGCCATGATTAAAATTCTGAGTTGCTTTTGCTAGAATAGTCGGCACTTCGGGACCACGGAGCAACCACGGGCGAACGGTTGGTGCTTTGTCAACTTCCATCGCATCCTGAGGCTCTCTTTGTGCCGGTACCAGGTTCTCATCTGCGCCAGACGCCACTGGGAGCCCAAGCACAACTTCCCAATCCGCCCGCCATGGGCTACGGGTGCCAAGCTTCTTGAAATTGGCCCTCTTCGCTGGTGGCGTCCTGTTCCACTTCGCTTTCTCCTTAACGGCACGCTCGTCCCAATGCTTGTCGTAGAACTCTGTGCAAGGAAAATCTCTCGGAAAATACGCAGTGCCTGCCTCGAAGGCTTGTGAGCCCCGCTCTCGCTGTCCGCCGACGCGTGTGCCAGTATGTACCAGTGAGGGGAGGAAAGGCATGCCCCACCCAGCGGGAACAACAACCATCCAGCCATGGATACCATGAGTGCCGGAGGGCGATTCGAGCGAGCGCTGTATGAGCAACAGTGGGATACGATCGTCCTGGCGAAGCGGACTAAGAGGCGTGCCTGGAACAAGATTCTTTGCGTGCAAGTTACTTATTGCACCTCATTACGAAGGCCAATGAGGGGCTTACCTTTGAGCGGCGTGCATCAAGGTCTTTCTTCTTGTATGCAGGCTTTTTCAATGCTGAACGTTTCTCTTCATCCCAAATTTCGCTTTGAGAAAGAATGGCTGCGGGGAACGTCATTGCCGGGGTGGCGGGGTGTTGACCGTCCATTCTGATTTTGGCGTTCTTAGGCGGAAACCTGGGTAGCAAGTTACTCATATGGACAAGTCAAGTAACTAGAGATGCCTACTTCAGTCGTGGGTCAAGGACTTTCATCCCAATGACTATTCCGCGTGGTAAGGACGCAGTGGTTTGCAGATCAGTCAGGGACGGCCAAAACTGTCTGCATTGTCAGATTTTATAAGGAAGTCAAGTAAAGAAACGAAAGCACCTTTTTGAATTCTTGCCTGTCGTCATCTGCAACTGAAGATAAGGCGCCCTTGATGACTTGACTTGCTTTGGGCCCCATGATTTCGAAAGCATTTACGCTGCCTCGCAAATCGACTATCTCTACCTCTGCATACACATCTTCATGTCGCTGTTTTTCAGCCTCAAGGACCAAGGAAGCAGATCCCTGTAACGCTGCGAAGACGTCGTTGAACACCGCAGGGTGCGAACGCACCCAGATCATTCTCGTGGGACTCTGTGGGGCTGCGTTAACCGGTGCGTTGTTCTTTCTTTTGCGCCTGCGTTTAGAGGAGCCTTCCGCTGGGAACGCGTTAGCCGGTGCCGACGTGTTTCCAACAGGTAACGGCCGCCACATGATCGTTACTGGTGCGATCAAGTCAAAGGGGTAGCTTCCTGATTTGTATAGGTCAGTCTCGAGCACGCGAGCACCGGACATGGATCTAATAAATCATTAGTGCATGTTTCCTCTTCCACCTCACAGGCTGACCGCTTCATTCCAGTGCACTGAGGATCACAGCAACTATCCAGCACATTTCGAAGGATGTTTTCAGGCCCCTTGAGCTCTATCAGTGAGTGGTACGACGAATCATGCAGAATTGAGCCATGCATAGAGGCTCGATGTGAAGGACGGAATGACTTTTCGGTTGGTGTTACTGCCTGAACAAGGATTTAGAAGGAGCCTGCAAACACAACTAGAGACTAACGAGTCTATACCCCCACATGTTTTCCATCTTCATCCGCTTGGCGTGCCAAATATGAGTCTCAAGCCAGGTCTTATCGCCTGCGAAACACATCGTAAGACAAGGAGCACGCGGGGTAACATGTTTACTGACGTTGTCGCTTCAAGAGGGATTCAGTACGGCTCACTTGCTTTGTTTTCCCCTGCTTAGAGCGTCCACGCTTAAGTATGCGCCGGGTGACAGGAACCATCTGGCAAGTAAAATAAGAAAAATTTCCGAGGAAGTGGTTTAAGGCTCACCTCGGCGCGTGCTTTGTCTCGCAGACGCAAGGGAACACGACGGACATCATGGCTAGCTGCCCTTCGTCGTAGATGGCGGGGAAGAGTTTGCCATACACGATGAGTCACACTTTCCCTGAGGACGGAAATCAGTAGTTATGTATATTGAGACACATGCTTCTAACCCTGCTGTCTTGATCGCTTTCTGCATGGCATCAATCTCATACGCTCGGGCCTAGTGTTTCTCAATCAAACGATATAGAACCGGAATCCATCAAAACACGTACCTCAGTGAACATTTCGACATCTATTGACGCGGGTAATCCCTGCATAGCTATTGCAGGTAAATGTCAACTGAAGAAACGACACGCGAAAGATGCTCACAGTCAAATCGAACGGTGGTACTTGACGGTCCAGCGGACGCGTTTCCTGAAGATTGGACAGTCCCACTTCCACTGGCTGACACAGACGGCTGAACAGCAATTGTCCGAGCACCTGCAACTTTAAGTTTCTTCCGTTCCCGAGACGTCATTTCTTCCGCGTCGTCCCCCTTACGTTTTAGAACCATACGTGCTTGATGTTAGATGATGCACTGTTTCCTCAAGAATGGGTCCCAGATATGGACTATGCACTCATTCAGCACTGGTAGAAACCGAGGATCGGAATGTGGTGAATACAAATCTTTGAACTGAAAGAAACACAGTAGAGTTGCCACAAACGCGATCTTGACCGGCTAACGCCGAACAACTCCTTCCTCTCACCACCATGGCTTCGCGTTGTCTGGCTCTTACCCCAAAATTTGCTCAGCGCTCAGGTGCACGGTTTCTATCGACGACTAGAGTGCTACGGGAAGAGGCATCCACTTCACCCAACCTAGGATCTGTGCAGCCGCAGAAGAGACCAGTCGGAGGCTTTCGGGGAGGGTAAGCAATATTGAATATTGCACGCGCCTTGCCATATGATCTCACTCTTGCTTCTTGTTGCTGCCGCAGATAATCGGGTTTCTGTTTGGATTCTCGTTAGCTCTGCGTTTGCTGCGTACCATCTTTTAGACGAGTATAAACTCGCTTCTGCGGCGCTGCAGGCCAGCGTGGAGGAGCTACAGGCGAGCACGGAGAAGGTTTGAGATTTCGTGCTTATGTGAAACATACCGTTTATGTTATCTGTGATTTCTGCAGGTGTCTGCACACGTCCGT